CACTGCACAAGGAAATACATGAAAGCAAATTTAGGAAATCTTGGCACAGCAGCCTGAGAATGACTATGAGACTTCAGGGCTTTCATCAAACGTTCTGCCTTTGAAGCATGAACACGGGGAAGCTTTTGCCTTTCAGACAAGGCAGAAGACAGGGCGTTTTTAGTTTGCACACCCCTTCCCACTGTTAACTGAGCCTCTCGCTTCACTGACTTCAAGCTTTTCATGACACTGAGGCCTACCAGCTTACCGTACTACACCGGGGGAGTTCTCATTTAATTGCATATGTGGTAGTTTGCCTTTCCAGCAAAATCCCGAGCCATCTGAACGGCTGGAGATAGATAAAAGCAGCATGCGGAAGGCTGAAAACAGGAACAGGGTGCTCACTACGGATTCGGGGGAAGCCAAGGATATCAGCGAGGCAGATCTCTGCGGCTCCGACTGCTCCACGCCTAACCTACATACGGACTTTTGCTAGCGGGAGAAAAGCCGGGGGGGGTGGGGGGGGGATCGGGCCAGGCACCCCCCCCCCGCAGCCCGGGGGGGAGCCGTGGCGGCGGGGCGAGGCCCCCAGCCCTTCCCCGGCCGCTCCCGCTCCCCTCGGGGGCCGGAGCGGGGCAGGGCGGGGCCCGCCGGCTGCCCTCTCCCCTTCCCGGCCGCCTAGCCCCGAGGTGGAAAAGGGGAGATTATATATATATATACACATATATATGTATAGGCTGAATGGAAAAGGAGGGCGGAGACCGCGGCGCGGTGGAGGTGGGGGGGGAAGTCAGCTCCGAGCGGTCTCCCTGCACCTGCCTGGCCGGCTCCACCGCGCCGAGGGCCGGGCCGCGGCGGGCTGAGGGAGGGGGAAGGCCCTGAGGGCCCAGCGGCGAGGAAGGGAAGGGGAAAAGGGCGGGGGGATCGGGGCCCCGCTGGCTGACGGGGCTCCGTGAGGGAGGTAAGGGGGGAGGCCGGGCCCGGCGGCGGGGGCAGCGGGCTGAGGGAAGGGTCCCCGCGGGAGAAGGGGGGGGGGGGGGGACGGAGGAGGAGGGGCTGGGGCCCTACCTGCACGGCGGCCTCCAGCTTGCCCTCGAAGGTGAAGTCGATGAGGTCAGGCTTGAGGCAGAGTCCGTAGTTGAGGGGGGACACGTCGGCGGGCAGCCGCTCGAAGGGCCGCTTCTCCGGCATGGCGAGGCGGCGGCGGGAGGGGGGAAAACGGGGGGGGGGGGGGGGGGGGGGGGGGGGGAGGGAAGGGGGGGTGCGGGGCTGCGCCCCCCCGCGGCGGGGCGGCGGGGGAGGGGGCGACTGGGGGGGGGGGGGGGGGGGGCGGTGCGGGGAGGGCCGGCAGGCGGGAAGGCTGACTGCGGGGGACGCGGCGGCCCCGCACCGAGACACCGAGAGCGGGGCGGGAGGGCGAGGAGCGGCGGCGGCGGCGGCGGAGGAGGAGGAGGAGGAGGAGGAGGAGGGAGGGAGGGGCGGGGGCGCGCGCGCGCGCGCTCCCGGCACGAGGCGGCCGGTGTGTGTGTGTGTGTGTGTGAGTGGGGGGGGGGGGGGGTGTAAAGGGGGGGAGAAGAGGAGGAGGAGGAGGAGGAACAGCGCGTGCGCGTGCGCGCGGCGGCGGCGGCGGCGCCACGCGGCCGCGCACGTAGAGCGGCGCGAGCGCGTTGCGTAAACGTCGCGGGCTGGCGCGCCTGCGCGCTCTGGTTGTCCGCCCCGTCCCGCCCCGCCCCGCCCCACGCGCCCCCGGGGGGTGTCGGTCCGCGCGGGCAGCGGGGCTGGCACCGTGCCAGCCAGTAACGGGGGTTCCCGGTGCTCCCAGTACGGGGGGGGGGGGGGGGGGGGGGGCTGGCACGGTGCCCCCCGTTAACGGAGACTCCCAGTACTGAGAAGGGCTGACACAATATCTGCTATTGACGGGGGTTCCCGGTGCTCCCAGTACGGGGGGGGGGGGGGGGGGGGGGGCTGGCACGGTGCCCCCCGTTAACGGAGACTCCCAGTACTGAGAAGGGCTGACACAATATCTGCTATTAACGGGGGTTCCCGGTGCTCCCAGTACGGGGGGGGGGGGGGGCGCTGGCACGGTGCCCCCCGTTAACGGAGACTCCCAGTACTGAGAAGGGCTGACACAATACCTGCTATTAACGGGGGTTCCCGGTGCTCCCAGTACGGGGGGGTGGGGGGGGGGCTGGCACGGTGCCCCCCGTTAACGGAGACTCCCAGTACTGAGAAGGGCTGACACAATACCTGCTATTAACGGGGGTTCCCGGTGCTCCCAGTACGGGGGGGGGGGCTGGCACGGTGCCCCCCGTTAATGGGTCCAGGGGGGGCCCTGGGGCCACGGGCCTGGCATCGCCTGGCAGCTCTGTCCCCCAGCAGCGGGGCAGGGCCCCTCCCTCCGGGGCACCCATGGGTGCAGCCCCCCCCGGCCTTAAATCCAAGCCGGGACCCTCTGCAAATGTTTAATGAGCTCCCATATCTTGTGTCCCGAGTTTTTCTACTAGTTCTCTTTAGAGTTTTTGTTTTGTTTTGTTTTTTAATTATTATTTTTTGGATTATTTTTATCAATTCCTTTTTCCCAGCACCTAGCAGCCGGCAGGCCCCACGCGCTGCTTGAGGTGTTTCCCGGGCTGCTCAGCACCCATCCAACCCTCCGAGCACCCACTGGGCACCACGCAGCATCCGACCCTTCTATCTGGAGCACACAGGGCCCCTTCTCCCCCCGCGCTCGGTCACTTCCGTGCTCCCCAGGTCCAGATAAGGCATCACTGCCCCCAGACCTTGGGCGATAACTATTGCAAACCTCCCGCGTTAAAAAAAAAAAAAAAAAAAAAAAAATCATGACATCAGCTTAAACCTCTTGGACTTTGCAGCAAAATTACAACAATGTGTATGTGTGGAGTGCGGAGAAGGTGTCCTGTCCTCCAGGCTTGCTTTACGTGTCCGGACAGCTATGTGGAGTTGCTTTTCTCCCCACTCTGAGTTAACAACTGCTCTCCTCCTCCTCCTCCCTGTGCTTGAACCGCAGCATCAAGGTGAAACCTGGGTGTTGCAGGGCTCCTGGTAAAACCCCAGGGCTTGCTGACACGCGTGCAGCAGCCCTTCGTGGCCAGGCTCACGTCCTCGTAAGTGGGAAAAAAAAAAAAAACAAACCAAACAACAAACCGACCCAAAAAACTCTTAAGCTCTTGAGCAGAAAGGGACTTCTGTGCTTTTCCCGTGGCTGAGCAGCCACTGGTGCCCACCCTGGGGTGCCACAGCCCTTCGGGGGCTTTCCCTGCTCACCCGGGGTCAGCAGCGCTGCGGAGCATCGCTGAGGCTTGGGGAAGATGCTATGTAAGGAATCCGTCTTAAAAAGCTATGTACACAATACAGCGAACAGTATTTACAGGGTAATAAATGTCCCAAGTGGGTGATGCTGGATGGCTGTTTGGGTTTGTGACAAACACCAGCAGGAAGTTTAAAAATTCTTAATAAAGGCTTTATATGGGAAAAAGAAGGGTGAAAAATTGAATTCCTCTGGAAGAGGGGAGCCTGCGCCAGCGGCCGCGGTGGCTTTCCCCGCACCCAGTTTGCGGGGTGAGAGCCACAGCCCAGCCCTGCTCGTGGCCTCAGGACTCAGCCGTGGGCTCTGCAGGGCCTTAAACACGGACACGGTTGAGTCTCAGCCCCCCAAAAGGAAGCTTGCTGCGTCTTTGTGGGTGCCACAACCTCCCTCGTTTTAAGAAGGAAGCACAGCTCGCAGAGGCAGGAAATCATTAATTGCCTTCCACCAGTAGAAACTGCAATTGCTCCTTTTTTTCTTTCCCCCCCACCTCTCCCCAAAGAGATTTATTTTTGCTAAAAGTGGTACCTCGCTGTTTAAAATATAAGTTAGCGCCGAGTGAGAGAGGGAGTGGGGATTCGCTGAGATCTGGAGGAGCCGGCGGCACAAACTGGGGCACGGAGAAAGTACAGAAAACTCTTAGCACATCATTATAAAAACCAAACAGCTGATGAGCCCGGGTTCATCTGGGGCTTCTGCGGGGCTGCATTGTGCTCGCAGAGCCCCGAGGAGGGGAAGGGAGAGAAGGAAACAGCTGGAGCCTTGCGGGGGGTTCAGGCAGCTGCCGCCCTCCCCTTGCTCCGGCCACTGTCCCCTCCCAACTCCTCCATGGGGTGCGAAGCCCCGCGGGACACACGGACACGGTCCCGCATGGTGACGTGTCAGCGCTGGGACTCGGGGCCGGGGAAAGTTTTGACGTCGTCGTTGTTGCAAGCGAGTTCACGCCTGCGATGCCAGTGGGGTTCTGGGGAGAAAGTTCCCATTTCCCCACCACCACCACCCGCCGCAACGAGGAAAGGGCTGGAGCCGTGACCCCACGGCTCGGCGTGGGTTGGGTGAGGACCCTCCACGCGTGATTTGCAGCCGGGCTGGATGGAGGAGGACTCAGCCGGGCAGTGCCATGCTGGGGATACCCCGAAGCCACCGTGGCCGGCCAGCAGGGTGAAGCCCAATCACGCCACAGTTGTGCTGAGAGACCTCGCTGGGGCAAAAATCTCCTCTCCTCCCGCCTCGCCCCCCATTTCGGTGCCCATGGCCAGAGGAAGAGCCACGGCGGGGCAGGCAGCAAGGTCAGGGGCAGGATAAACCTATTCCTGGAGCCGAGCTGCTCAACACTGCGGGAGGGAGGCGGCGGGGATTGTCTCCTCTGAGCTTTAATTCCTGTCCCCGTTGGCCACGCGGGTCACTGGGTGCCCTCTCGGGGACAGCGAGGGGGCTCGGCGGCCGCGTCGCTTGTGCTCTGCAAAGGGCTCCGGGTGCCTTCTGCGGCTGCTGGTCCGCGCGGGAGATATTGTTAGATGACAGATGCTGCTGTCAGCAAGAATCCAGAAGGAAAGAAAGGAAGAAAGAGCGAGCCTCCACCGAGAAAGCTGGGGGGAAGCCGCTGCCTCCACCATGTCCCAACCAGACTGGGTTCTCCCGCAGCGCCAGACTGGGGAGGGCCTGGGGACAAACGGACGGGGTGGAAGCCAGGAGCTGTAATTAGCCCAGAGACTGCAGCCACCAACCGCTGTCAGTGCACCATTTTAATTAGGAAAACAAGGGGGAAAAAGGGGAAGAAAAGAAAAAGAAAGATCCCAAGAGAGGCTTTTCTTTTCTTCTCTCTTTTGCTGGAGTTTTTGCTGTTCCTTCAGAGAGCGGAGCAGCCGGAGGGCACCGGCTAATCCTGCCTCGCAGGTCTGGGCCGGCGGCTTAGAGCAGGAATCTCTGGTATTTGGGAGCACGGGGACAACAGCGAGTTCGAAGCTGCAAAGTGGCTCCTGGGGCCTCTTGCTCCGCAGGCTGTTCCTTGGGGGGTTGGGTGGAGTTTTGCATCGCTTCCCCCTCTCACTGCATGGCGACAGATGCATGCGGGTCTGCCCGTGGCCCTGTACCTGGGGCGAGTTGCGCAAGAATGGAGGCAAATGTGGCCAAGCCCCTTCCTGGAGCTGGCTGGGACAGCTCAGCTTTGGGTGGGCGCTGAGCTCATCCCACTTCTTTTGATGCACAGGTCCCTCCAAATCCCAGCCCTGGTCCCGCTCTCCCTTGGGGCAAATCCCTGCGTGGTGGTTTTGCAAGGGGAAGGTCACACGTGGGCTGGGGGCACCGTCAAGTGGCACCTCCAGAGGCCACCGCTGCTGCGGCAAGCCCCAGTCCAAACCACAGCAGGCAAGGATGCTCCTGGACTGTGCTCCCCAGAAGCCCCCCACGGCAAGGATGTGACCCCAGGAGGCTGCCAGAGCCCTGAAACGGCTGCCCATGGTGGTAAAACCGGCTGAGATGGCATCACAGGGCAGCTCTGCAGCCGGAAAAGCCAGAAGGGCTGGGAAAATCCAGCCCCACGAGTCCCAAGCTGTGGGAAAGCGCCGAGGCTGTGGGGCGCTGGGGTTGGTGACTCAGTCCTGGCTGCTCCGGGACTGGCTCCGCAGCCCCGAGGCTTCAGCCCTGTTTTCTGGAGGGGAAACAAGTTCCAGTTTTCCTGGCAGGGGTGCAGCCAAGAGGTTCCCTCCCTCTCCTATTTTTTTTCAGCCCCCGCGAGCATCATGCCAGGCTTTTGGAGCCGCTGCTGGGATGCAGATGCAATCCCCCCACCCCTGGGTGCCCGGCTCCTCTCCCGTGCCCCCCCCCACCCCCGGCCCAGCCCCACGGGGCCGCTCCCAGCTCATCCCGCTCACAACCAGCACAGATAACAGCGTGGGCTGGGATCAACGGTCTCGGGCACAGCGAAGCCGTCACTACACATTAACCAGCTGTCCTCTGGAGCAACGCTTCCTCGTAGCCAAGATCAACAGTCCCCAAAGCAAACTGGGAGCACGGCCAGGCTGAGCGAGCGCAGCCAGGAGCCTCCCGACGAGCCCCCCCACTCCCGGGGGGCCACCCCGGGGTTCGCACACACACCCCACACCCCCCCCCCCCCGTGCTGCGTTTGCCTTTGGGTCTGAAAGACAAACCGAGGCCTCACCCTGCGGCTGCGGGTGGGTGCTGAGCATCCCCGGGGTGTCCCTGGGGCTCCTGGAGCTGGAATTTCAAAGGGAAGAGGTTTGGGAAAAGGGTGGTTTGCTTTAGGGCATCGGGGCTGCACCCCCGGAGCTGCTGCACCCCTAGAGCTGCTGCACCCCTAGAGCTGCTGCACCCCCGGAGCTGCTGCACCCCCGGAGCTGCTGCACCCCTAGAGCTGCTGCACCCTCGGAGCTGCTGCACCCCGGCGCCATTTTCGGGGGCTGCAGGACATTTTCGGGTCCCTGAGCCCCCCCGCCCCTCCACCGGCGTTGCTGCAGTTTGCAACGCCAAAAGCATCGGGCACCGATCGCAGCTGCTGGGGGGGGCTGAGCAGATCCAGGGTGGGGGTGAGGGGGCTCTGACACCCCAACCCCCCCCCACCCCCAGCACCCCCTGAATGGGGCGGGTTTGTCGCGTGTGGCACCGTGGGCGCCCCTAGAGCTGCAAGAGCCCCCCCCCCCCGCTCCACTGCACCGGGGTCGCCCCCGCTGAGCGCTCGGGGCGGAGCCTCCCCCCCCCCCATCCCCCCCCCCCCGCAGCCGATGGAATTTTCCACTCGCCGCCGCGCCGCGGGTTCCCGCTGGCCCCGCCACCTCCGCGCGCGGCGCCTCTCGGCCACGCCCCCCGCCCCCGGCCACGCCCACATCCCGGCGGGCCGCGCGGTGGGAAGATGGCGGCCGCCATGAAGGCGGGCCTGGGGCGGCTGGGCCTCAGGGTGTGCTGGCGGGGGGGGCCCGGGAGCGGGGCCGAGGGGCTGGCGAGGAGGGGGTGGAGAGGAACGGGCTGAGGAGTCATGGTGGGGGCTGGGGGGCCGCGGGAGGGGTGTGGGGAGTCAGGGGCGAGGGAATATGGGGAGGGCCGTGGGGCAGGGAGGGCTGCAGGTAGTGGCGTTAGGTGTATTTCCAGCTGCTTTGTGTTTGGGAGGTGTGGAAGGGAATAAATCAGAATGTTGGTGTTGGTTTTCGGCCGTTGGGCTAACTCTCCATGGCTTTGTTTTTTCTCTTCCTTAGGCTGTGGAGTCTGTGCTCCGCCCTGGAGCGGTTCCGGCCTGTCTTCTTGTCCCAGTGAGAACAAAGAGGCGGCTTTCTGTCCCTGAGTGGGCCAGAGACCTGACCCCTGAAGAGAAGGAGAGGAGACTCAGGTCTTTGGGGAAAGTGCTTCCTGAAGATCGTATAGAACGGCCTTTCTACTTGGCCTGCACAGGTGGTAGAAAGTCTGCTTTGGTCTCTTCTCAAGGGCAAAACTAATGCGAAGTAGCAGTGTGGAGCAATTAGCTATTAGACTAGCAGTTCTCTGCATGCTCATATTTCATCTTTCAAACACCATCAGGGTGGAATCCTGCTTTTCCAGCCCCCAGCAGCCAAGGTCCTGCCTCTCTGTTTCTTTCATTTTGCTGGTTTTAAGCCTTCTCCTGACCTTTCTTCTCTCTCATGTAGCTGGTATTATAGACCCTTATGTCCCACCTGAGGGCGATGCCCGCTTGACTTCCCTGTCCAAAGATGGGCTGAAGCAAAAGATGGAGAAGCTGAAGCAGACTGCCACCTCCCAGCTAGCGTACGTACCCCCTTTTTAATTATTTTGTGGTGCAGATGTTTTGCTCGGTTCCTTCTTGCAGTGGTAAGATGGTGCGTTTTGTTTTCTACCCACTTCTTATATTGCTGCTGTCGTACCACTTAACCAGGAGTCCCTGGTGTGAGGGTGAACACGAGGCACCTGTCCCGGTGTGAATGGATGCAGCGTGCACTCATTTTCTTGAGGATTCTCTGGGTTTGCAGCACTATGTTTTACGAGCACCTAGAAGTTACGTCTCAGTGGAGAGTCTCCAGTTCTCACTTGCTGCCTGGTAAAAGCTGGGCTCGAGCCGAATAAGATCGCTGCCATCGTCTGAAATGTGCAAGACACTTCCAAGTTGTTTTTTACTCACTGTAGAGCTTTTCTTGTCTTTTCAGTCTGCGGAAGGTGAAAGATCATGATCCGGATTTCAGCACTAAAACCTTTCCAGAGAAGGCGCAGGAGATATTTATTGAAGCTAACAACTGCCTGGCAAAGTAAGACCCCTCTTCTGTCTGTTGTGGTTATGTTGGACCTGGTTCTCTGGTTTTCTTCCTTGTCTTTCTAATCCTTGTGCCTCCTCTGCAACAAGTACTTCATCTTTTTCTGCCCCCATCTCTGAAGGGTGGTGTCAGAGAGTTGGACAGTACCCTCTTGCTTTTGATAATGAAAAGCAGGTTGCAGAAAATTCATTTTGACCTGACCTGCAAAGGAGATGAGCTGTTGCACCACTCGTGTTACAGCAGATGTGTGGGTGTTTGGTGCTGTTCACAATCACGCTGCAGGGAATTGTCTGGATAGGAAATGATACTGCACTGGCTTTCTCCACTTTCCAGTAACAAAACAGATTTCAAAACTGCATCATTCTTGGTTACAATTCCAAACATCAATAAAACACTTAGGTCATAACTGGCTTCCAAAGGATGTTGTGTCTTTCCCTGAAGCCTTGTCAGCCACCTTGCGTTCATGCTCCGATTTCATTCTGAGATCGCAGCTGAGAATTTTGCCCTTTCTGTTTTGCCAGTAGATTGTGTGTGTTCTGGGGAAGCAGGAATTTGCGAGTAAGCCTTTTTACAATATGTGTATTCAAGTAACTGGGTGTGTTTCACTTGCAGTTTTAACAAGCAGAAACTTCATTCCCTGGTGACAGAGCACTGCTACCCGGTAAGTGTTTATCTGGATGTAGCGTGTCCTTGATCTCTTCCGTGGTCCTTAAGGCTCTTTAAACCTGATTGTCTGTCTCATTTTTTTCTGGACACAGTAAAGACAGAGCTGGGAGGGAAAGCACAAGTCTAAGGAGTAGCTGACGAATAAAAGCTCTGTTGTATATAGTAGTTTGCTTGTCACTCAGTTTAGATCCTAAGTGAGTTGGTGCTTATTATTTCCTTTATACAGGAAATGGTCCGTGGGAACAGGTACAAGACCATCCGGTGGAGTTTTGTGGAGTCTCTGGAGCCTCCACGAGTGGTTCATGTTCGATGCGACAGCATGGTGAATCGAGGCAACCTGTATGGCCAGGTGACGGTGCGGATGCACACGCGGCAGGTACGTCCCCTTGTGCCCCTTGCATTCCTCAACTGACTCCAACCTGCTGCTGGCCCAACATACATTTCTTGGCTCTTTTTACAGATTCTGGCAATCTATGACCGCTTTGGGCGGCTGATGTATGGTGGGGAGCAGGTGCCCAAGGACGTTTTGGAGTATGTCGTGTTTGAGAGGTACTTGGTCAACCCATATGGCACGTGGAGGATGCATGGCAAGATCGTTCCGGAGTGGGCTCCACCGAAGGACCCCATTGTTAAGGTAATGCCACCAGGAAAAGGCACCAGCGTGACTTGTGCCTGTGAAACACAGGTCTCTAGTTAATTCTGGACAAAACCAAAGCTGAGCTTCTTGTAGCGTGAAGGTGGGGGATTAATCTGCAAGCAGACCTATTTATTAATGTGGCATTATCAGGCTCTAGCACCTGGAAGCTGTAATAGGAGGCTGAGGGCGTTTGACACGTATGTGGTAATTGAGGGGCTTACTGCTCCCTGTACATAGCCTGGCTAAATGATGTGGGTGCTCTTGTCTTCCTGTGTTACAAAAAACAAGGCGTGTCATCCCGTTCCTCCTCTGTGTCCTCCGTGCTGCTGCCATCTGGTCATCTTCCTGTGCGAGGCCTTTGCATCACCAGAACCCCCTGCTTGCCCTTTCTCGTGCTCTGTAACGTGATGAATTCCTGTTACAACAGTTCAGAGCTGCTCTGTGGCATGCTGACTTTGTCCCTTACTTTTTCAGACGGTGATGATTCCTGGCCCAACCTTGGATCCCTCGCAAGAGTATGAAGAAACAAAGTAAGAAGCCCCAGAGCCTGTACAGAGCCAGGAGTGCAAGCAACCCTGGGGGGAAGAAGGGGAGAATGTCTGTGGAGATAGCGGACTGGATATGGCTGTGCCTTTCCAGCGAGCAATCAACAAACAAAGCGGCTTCAGAAATGGACTCCAGTCACTAAGAAGTTGTCCTTAAAGGAGCAAGAGGGGCCTGAGAGGGGGATTCAGATGAGCTCTGAGAAGAGCTTTACTCTGTCCAAGTAGACTTAGTGTGCTGCAGCTTAACCCTCTCTGTGTTTCTGTGAAGATGAGAAGCCTGTTCTCATCAGGACCGCTCTCTAGGCTAACCTCTGTCCTGAACTTGCATCGTGAGAGCCCTTGGCAGCAGAAGTCTGTCCAGACACGGGAGATTTGGCACTTCCATGGGAAGTGTCGTAGACCTGCTGGGCTTGCGTTAAAACTTGCCACAGTAGGTGCTGGCACTTTCTTTTCCCATCCTCTTTCCCTTTCTGTACTGATTCCCAGGCTTTTTTTAACAGAAAACAGGGAAGAGCAGCAAGCACACTTCAAGTTCTCCTGGGTGGGTACTGCAGCTGGACTCCTGCTGAATGGGTGCTTGGTAGTGGCCAAGCTTCCCAACGGGGCTGCAGCACAGCACTGATACTTAATAAAATTTTTTGACTCCTAAGATCAATGTTTGTGTCTACCAGCACCTTCTTGAAAGGCAGCATTTCTCATAGCTGATGAGTTTTGGTGCATTTGTTGCAGACACTGATGAAGTCAGCACTGGGATGTTGTTAGTGAGTGGCTGGCACCATCCTGTGGACGTGATGACATTCGCATCAGGTCCCCTGGTTTTGCAGGCTGTGTGGGTCAGGAAAAGGCAACCCAGAGGTTGCCTTTTTCCATGTCTGGGAGTAAGCCTGATAATCTGTTCTTGCTCTGTTTTGCTCACATAAATTCCCTTTACTCCTAGTCACAGAGCAAAATATTCACTAGTCATCAAACAGCAAAGCATTTTATTTTTCAACCTTATCCTGCTTTTTAACTCGGCCATTTTCCAGAGCTTGTGAGTGTTGCACAAAAAAAGTGCTTTTTTTTCCTTCTTCCTTGAAAGGGATTTTACGGACCGTGCTGTAGGAGAGATATAGCTGCTTATGCCTGGAGATTTGTTCAGTGTTTCTTGTGAATGATGTTCTTTTGAAAGGGCAGAATATCATCTTTATGTTCTGTGAGGAGAGGAGCCAGTGATGGAATTCCTTTTATCTTTTTGGGAATCAGAGGGGTGTCACAATCTGCCTTTCCTGAAAGAACCTTCTATATCGAGCCTTCTGCCTACGCTGCATTCACGAGCTGAAGAGAGATTCAGTGCTCCAGCCTATGCGAGCTGGGCTAGGCGCTAAAATAAATCGGGGTGAGCTGCCTGCTCTGTGTCTGGTGTGATTCGGGCGGCTTACAGCCAGGTGGGGACGTCACTCCCCAACCAAGACCTACAGACAAGGTTCTTCAGCTCTGGCACTGAATGAAAAGAAGGTGTTTTCTGGTGGAGTGGCTGGCTTTTCTGGGAGAATGGCCTTTCCTTCCCCTCCGGCAGTGTGTAGCTCCCCACCTCCTTTGCCAATATTCAACCCTCTGCGACTCAACCACTTTTGTTCCTGGGCTTCCTTCGCAGCCTCGCTGCTTTTCTGTTGTACCTCTTCTTTGAGCATGTTTAGTATCCTACCCGCAGCCCATAAAGCAGCCACTACGTGTGCACTCTGCAGATAATACTTTTTATTTTCTGTATGTACACTTACTTACACAGTTGGATGATGGTTTGACATTCAGCGCTGAAGACCAGAAGACCACAGACAGCACACTACAGCAACGCCACTTTCTAAGGAGAGTGGAAGTAAATGACAAAGGAACAGCAGGATGAGCCCTGAGCCCCAGCTCAGGAACATCAGAGGGAGGACAAAAAACTTCGCTTCTGTTCTTATTTGCTTCCATTGAAGTGGAGCAGAGGGACAAATCTGGGGACTCATCGTTTCCCAGCTGCTGCCTTGCTGACCCTGAGGCTGCTCCCCATGCGTAGAGCCGCATCCCTTCCCCTCCACATTTATGAGTTGCTGGGTTGGAGCAATGGCAAACCCGGGAGCCCTGTCTGATGCTCTGGAGATCACCGAGCCTCCGTGATCTCAGCAGCTTCCCTGTCATGCAGGAGTCTGTCTGCATCTCTGCCCCAAAGGAATGGGTCCTGAAGTTGATAGGTGGGATGACAAAAGGCATCCAGCGCTTCTACAGATGGGCTGTAAAAGTGAAGGCTTGCTAGTGCCGGTGGAAATGGTGGAAAAACCCTCACCTGTGACGGGCGGGTGTGCACACACAGTGAATGCACACGCATGCACGCGTGGTATGAGTGAAGAAGAAACCAGTGACAACAAAGTGCTTCGAAAAGTTAGTGGCATTGTTAATTAAATTAAGACAAGCACCTTCACGGCTGAGTTGCTGCAAGGGTTAGAAGTGTAGCAGTGCCGTGAAGTTAGGGAGGAGGGTAGGAGCAGGAATACCCCTCTCAGCCTGTGTGGATGCGGAGGTTTCTGAAAGCAGAGCAGCCGGGTGGCCTGGAGGTTGGTTTTTATCCCACCCAGGTCAAGCGATAGGCAAGGGTGTCTGGGAGCAGAGGTGGTGGTGGGCATCGCCAAGGTGCGGGGTTTGAGCACGGCGCTGGCGTCGCTGGGCCAACCCGGAGCGCAGAGGTTTGCTCTGCGTGCCTGGAAGGCCTGTGGCTGGCTCGGGGCCTTTCAGGGGATGTTTAAAAATAAATGGCTTCGATTCAAGGAAGCAAAATGTGTCGTAGGGCTGACTTGGAACAACGGCCCTTCATCGCAGGCTGCAGACCCTGCCTGGTCCTAGCAGTGCTTAAACCCTGGCTTAAAACGGAGGGGACAGCAGCGCTGGGGTCGATCAGCTGGGCTGCAGGACCTCTGGAAAGCTCTTTTCCTCCCCGTCGCATCATTGCTGCCCCTGGCTTGGCTCTCCCCTTGTTTCAGTGGTCAGTTTACTGAGGCTGCAGGACTGTGTATTTCGGGGTGCCAGGCAAACCGTTCCTCGCTCTGCCGGAGGCACAAACCTCCCGACGCGGCAGGAGGATGTTCAACTGCTGGTGAGCTGCAGCCTTGTGCCTGCTGGGTTGGTGGAAGCGAAGTGAGGCCGGTCCCACGGGTGTTTTGATGTATTCAGGGGCCCCACGCTGGGCCAGGAACCTGTGGGTGAGTGATGGGTGGCATTTGCAGGCTGCTGCCTGGCGTGAGTGCTTCGATGAAGGCAGGAGATGCCAGCTGTCCCCTGCTGTGGTGGCCCCCAAGCTTGGCTGGTTGATGGCCACCACTGGAGCCCAGTGGGAGTGCGGCCGTGCTGTTGGCTTTGGTGGACACCCCGTCTGGGCTGTGCAGGTGGGCAGCAGCCTTCTCAGCTCAAGACTTTCTGTTCCTGAAAGCCATGTCTGCAGGCCGAACGGAGGGAACTACTCGTGTTCCCACGGGCAGACATCGGGTTCGGTTTCCCTCACGCCCCTGTCTCCATCCTGGGGGCTCACCACGGCTTTGCCCTCCCCGTGGAGGGCTGGACTGGGATCCACGCTCTCCACCTCCCACGGACACACTTCGGAGGTTTTCCTCATGTCTGGGCTGGGCTTGTCGGATGCTGCCAGAGTCTCTTCTGCTTCCCGGGGACAAACCTCAGCTGCAGTAGCGCTTGTGCTGGGGCTGCTGCCCTCCGTGGGAGCCGTGCTTGCTCCCTGAGAAAGCAGTTCTGCTCCGGGGCCCCGTGGGGGCTCGATGCCCGGCAGGATGCGGCACAGGGGCTTGTGCTCAGCCTTGCAGTCAGATCCGCTCTTGGGTTTTTTCAGCAGAGCTGTTGCAGACACAGAGCTGGCTCCTGCCACCGGTTTTGACTTCCCTGTCCCGGTGGGGGATGCTCTGTCAGCATCCTGCGGGTGCATGCCTGGTTTGAAGGTTTCCTTCTCCAAGCTGGTGGGGTCTGCTGCTTCCCAGGGACAAATATCAGATTTCCTGCTCTCCGTGCCATCAGACTTCTTGGATGGCTCCTTCCCCGTTGCACTTTTCAGGGAGCGCTCCTCCATGCCCTGGCTCTCCCAGGGGCAGATGGCCTCGCACTCGCTGCTCCCCTTCTCTGGTGGTTTGGAGGCACCTGCTTTTTCTGGTGGGATGCTTGCCTTACCCGGGGCCGCTCCTTTCTGCAGCAGAGGTGCAGCCACCTCCCTGGAGCAGATTTTGGCTTTGCCATCGGCTTCAACCTCCTGAGACTCCCAAGGACAGACCTCTGCCTTCAGGCTCTCTGTGCTCTGGGATTTCTTCGAAGGTGATTTGGGCAGCGTTGGGCTCTCCGCACGGGGTTTTGCTGGGGGCTGCTCCGCGCCCAGGCTCTCCCAGGGACGGACATTCACTTTTGCTCTCCTGATGAGCTGCCATTTCTTGGCGGTGGCTTTCAGCAGCTCTATGCTCCTCGTGCTGTACCCCGTGAAGGAGCCCTCCGTGCCCGTGCCTGTGCCCTCCCAGGGGCAGATGGACTCACGGTCACTGCTTGCTTGCTCCTTCTTTTCAGACATGCTGTCTCCAGTCTTTTTGTGGAGACCTTGATCTGCAGAAGGGTGTTCACTCGCTATGGGCAGAGCATCTCTGTCCTGTCTTGATTTCTCTGTAGTTGATGGGGAAGCAGCTGCCTCCCAGGGGCAGATTTCTGCTTTATCAGTGGATTTGAGCTCCCAAGGACAGACCTCTGCCTTCAGGCTCTCTGCGCTCTGGGATTTCTTCGAAGGTGATTTGGGCAGTGTTGGGCTCTCCGAACGGGGTTTTTCTGGGGGTTGCTCCATCCCCAGGTTCTCCCAGGGGCAGATGGACTCACGGTCACTGCTTGCTTTGTCCTGCTTTCCGGATGTGCTGTCTCCAAATCCTTTGCAGAGACCTTGATCTGCAGAAGGGTGTTCACTCTCTACGGGCAGAGCATCTCTGTCCTGTCTTGATTTCTCTTTACCTGATGGTGAAGCAGCCGCCTCCCAGGGGCAGATTTCAGCTTTATCAGTGGATTTGAGTTCCTGAGGACAGACCTCTGCCTTCAGGCTCTCTGCGCTCTGGGATTTCTTTGAAGGTGATTTGGGCAGCACTGGGCTCCCAGCACGGGGTTTTGCTGGGGGCTGCTCCATCCCCAGGCTCTCCCAGGGGCAGATGGACTCACGGTCACTCCTTGCTTTGTCCTGCTTTCCGGACATGCTGTCTCCAAATCCCTTGCTGAGACCTTGATCTGCAGAAGGGTGTTCACTCTCTACGGGCAGAGCATCTTTGTCCTGTCTTGATTTCTCTTTACCTGATGGTGAAGCAGCCGCCTCCCAGGGGCAGATTTCAGCTTTATCAGTGGATTTGAGCTCCAGAGGACAGACCTCAGCCTTCAGGCTCTCTGCTCTCTGGGATTTCTTCGAAGGTGATTTGGGCAGCGTTGGGCTCTCCGCACGGGGTTTTGCTGGGGGCTGCTCTGTGCCCAGGCTCTCCCAGGGACGGACATTCACTTTTGCTCTCCTGATGAGCTGCCATTTCTTGGCGGTGGCTTTCAGCAGCTCTATGCTCCTCGTGCTGTACCCCGTGAAGGAGCCCTCCGTGCCCGTGCCTGTGCCCTCCCAGGGGCAGATGGACTCACGGTCACTGCTTGCTTGCTCCTTCTTCTCAGACATGCTGTCTCCAGTCTTTTTGTGGAGACCTTGATCTGCAGAAGGGTGTTCACTCGCTATGGGCAGAGCATCTCTGTCCTGTCTTGATTTCTCTGTAGTTAATGGGGAATCAGCTGCCTCCCAGGGGCAGATTTCTGCTTTATCAGTGGATTTGAGCTCCCAAGGACAGACCTCTGCCTTCAGGCTCTCTGCGCTCTGGGATTTCTTCGAAGGTGATTTGGGCAGCGTTGGGCTCCCAGCACGGGGTTTTTCTGGGGGCTGCTCCATCCCCAGGCTCTCCCAGGGGCAGATGGACTCACGGTCACTGCTTGCTTTGTCCTGATTTCCGGATGTGCTGTCTCCAAATCCCTTGCTGAGACCTTGATCTGCAGAAGGGTGTTCACTCTCTATGGGCAGAGTATCTCTGTCCTGTCTTGATTTCTCTTTACCTGATGGTGAAGCAGCCGCCTCCCAGGGGCAGATTTCAGCTTTATCAGTGGATTTGAGTTCCTGAGGACAGACCTCTGCCTTCAGGCTCTCTGCACTCTGGGATTTCTTTGAAGGTGATTTGGGCAGCACTGGGCTCCCAGCACGGGGTTTTGCTGGGGGCTGCTCCATCCCCAGGCTCTCCCAGGGGCAGATGGACTCACGGTCACTGCTTGCCTTGTCCTGCTTTCCGGATGTGCTGTCTCCAAATCCTTTGCAGAGGCCTTGACCTGTAGAAGGGCTTTCGCTCGCTATGGGCAGAGCATCTTTGTCCTGTCTTGATTTCTCTCTAGTTGCTGGGGAAGCAGCCGCCTCCCAGGGGCAGATTTCAGCTTTATCAGTGGATTTGAGCTCCTGAGGACAGACCTCTGCCTTCAGGCTCTCTGTGCTCTGGGATTTCTTCGAAGGTGATTTGGGCAGCGTTGGGCTCTCCGCACGGGGTTTTGCTGGGGGCTGCTCCGCGCCCAGGCTCTCCAGGGGACGGACATTCACTTTTGCTCTCCTGATGAGCTGCCATTTCTTGGCGGTGGCTTTCAGCAGCTCTATGCTCCTCGTGCTGTACCCCGTGAAGGAGCCCTCCGTGCCTGTGCCTGTGCCCTCCCAGGGGCAGATGGACTCACGGTCACTGCTTGCTTGCTCCTTCTTTTCAGACATGCTGTCTCCAGTCTTTTTGTGGAGACCTTGATCTGCAGAAGGGTGTTCACTCGCTATGGGCAGAGCATCTCTGTCCTGTCTTGATTTCTCTGTAGTTGATGGGGAAGCAGCTGCCTCCCAGGGGCAGATTTCTGCTTTATCAGTGGATTTGAGCTCCCAAGGACAGACCTCTGCCTTCAGGCTCTCTGCGCTCTGGGATTTCTTCGAAGGTGATTTGGGCAGCGTTGGGCTCCCAGCACGGGGTTTTTCTGGGGGCTGCTCCATCCCCAGGCTCTCCCAGGGGCAGATGGACTCACGGTCACTGCTTGCCTTGTCCTGCTTTCCGGATGTGCTGTCTCCAAATCCCTTGCTGAGACCTTGATCTGCAGAAGGGTGTTCACTCTCTACGGGCAGAGCATCTCTGTCCTGTCTTGATTTCTCTTTACCTGATGGTGAAGCAGCCGCCTCCCAGGGGCAGATTTCAGCTTTATCAGTGGATTTGAGTTCCTGAGGACAGACCTCTGCCTTCAGGCTCTCTGCACTCTGGGATTTCTTTGAAGGTGATTTGGGCAGCACTGGGCTCCCAGCACGGGGTTTTGCTGGGGGCTGCTCCGTGCCCAGGCTCTCCCAGGGACAAACGGCCTCTCGCTCGCAGCTGTCCTTCTCCAGGGATCTCTCCGGGCTGGCTAACGCTGCCTGGCGCGTGATGCGCTTGTCCCCCTTAGAGCCAACCCCAGGACCCTGCTTGGCCTTTTGCTGATCGGAGGGACTTGCAGCCGCCTCCCTGGAGCAGATTTTGGCTTTGCCATCGGCTTCAACCTCCTGAGCCTCCCAAGGACAGACCTCTGCCTTCAGGCTCTCTGCGCTCTGGGATTTCTTCGAAGGTGATTTGGGCAGCGTTGGGCTCTCCGCACGGGGTTTTGCTGGGGTCTGCTCTGTGCCCAGGCTCTCCCAGGGACGGACATTCACTTTTGCTCTCCTGATGAGCTGCCATTTCTTGGCGGTGGCTTTCAGCAGCTCTATGCTCCTCGTGCTGTACCCCGTGAAGGAGCCCTCCGTGCCCGTGCCTGTGCCCTCCCAGGGGCAGATGGACTCACGGTCACTGCTTGCTTGCTCCTTCTTTTCAGACATGCTGTCTCCAGTCTTTTTGTGGAGACCTTGATCTGCAGAAGGGTGCTCACTCGCTATGGGCAGAGCATCTCTGTCCTGTCTTGATTTCTCTGTAGTTGATGGGGAAGGAGCTGCCTCCCAGGGGCAGATTTCTGCTTTATCAGTGGATTTGAGCTCCCAAGGACAGACCTCTGCCTTCAGGCTCTCTGCGCTCTGGGATTTCTTTGAAGGTGATTTGGGCAGCGTTGGGCTCCCAGCACGGGGTTTTTCTGGGGGCTGCTCCATCCCCAGGCTCTCCCAGGGGCAGATGGACTCACGGTCACTGCTTGCTTTGTCCTGCTTTCCGGATGTGCTGTCTCCAAATCCCTTGCTGAGACCTTGATCTGCAGAAGGGTGTTCACTCTCTACGGGCAGAGCATCTCTGTCCTGTCTTGATTTCTCTTTACCTGATGGTGAAGCAGCCGCCTCCCAGGGGCAGATTTCAGCTTTATCAGTGGATTTGAGTTCCTGAGGACAGACCTCTGCCTTCAGGCTCTCTGCACTCTGGGATTTCTTTGAAGGTGATTTGGGCAGCACTGGGCTCCCAGCATGGGGTTTTGCTGGGGGCTGCTCCGTCCCCAGACTCTCCCAGGGACAAACGGCCTCTCGCTCGCTGCTGTCCTTCTCCAGGGATCTCTCCGGGCTGGCTAACGCTGCCTGGCGCGTGATGCGCTTGTCCCCCTTAGAGCCGACCCCAGGACCCTGCTTGGCCTTTTGCTGATCGGAGGGACTTGCAGCCGCCTCCCTGGAGCAGATTTTGGCTTTGCCATCGGCTTCAACCTCCTGAGCCTCCCAAGGACAGACCTCTGCCTTCAGGCTCTCTGCGCTCTGGGATTTCTTCGAAGGTGATTTGGGCAGCGTTGGGCTCTCCGCACGGGGTTTTGCTGGGGGCTGCTCTGTGCCCAGGCTCTCCCAGGGACGGACATTCACTTTTGCTCTCCTGATGAGCTGCCATTTCTTGGCGGTGGCTTTCAGCAGCTCTATGCTCCTCGTGCTGTACCCCGTGAAGGAGCCCTCCGTGCCCGTGCCTGTGCCCTCCCAGGGGCAGATGGACTCACGGTCACTGCTTGCTTGCTCCTTCTTTTCAGACATGCTGTCTCCAGTCTTTTTGTGGAGACCTTGATCTGCAGAAGGGTGCTCACTCGCTATGGGCAGAGCATCTCTGTCCTGTCTTGATTTCTCTGTAGTTGATGGGGAAGCAGCTGCCTCCCAGGGGCAGATTTCTGCTTTATCAGTGGATTTGAGCTCCCAAGGACAGACCTCTGCCTTCAGGCTCTCTGCGCTCTGGGATTTCTTTGAAGGTGATTTGGGCAGCGTTGGGCTCTCCGAACGGGGTTTTGCTGGGGGCTGCTCTGTGCCCAGGCTCTCCCAGGGGCAGATGGACTCACGGTCACTGCTTGCTTTGTCCTGCTTTCCGGATGTGCTGTCTCCAAATCCTTTGCAGAGACCTTGATCTGCAGAAGGGTGTTCACTCTCTACGGGCAGAGCATCTCTGTCCTGTCTTGATTTCTCTTTACCTGATGGTGAAGCAGCCGCCTCCCAGGGGCAGATTTCAGCTTTATCAGTGGATTTGAGTTCCTGAGGACAGACCTCTGCCTTCAGGCTCTCTGCACTCTGGGATTTCTTTGAAGGTGATTTGGGCAGCACTGGGCTCCCAGCATGGGGTTTTGCTGGGGGCTGCTCCGTCCCCAGACTCTCCCAGGGACAAACGGCCTCTCGCTCGCTGCTGTCCTTCTCCAGGGATCTCTCCGGGCTGGCTAACGCTGCCTGGCGCGTGATGCGCTTGTCCCCCTTAGAGCCGACCCCAGGACCCTGCTTGGCCTTTTGCTGATCGGAGGGACTTGCAGCCGCCTCCCTGGAGCAGATTTTGGCTTTGCCATCGGCTTCAACCTCCTGAGCCTCCCAAGGACAGACCTCTGCCTTCAGGCTCTCTGCACTCTGGGATTTCTTCGAAGGCGATTTGGGCAGCGTTGGGCTCCCAGCACGGGGTTTTGCTGGGGGCTGCTCTGTGCCCAGGCTCTCCCAGGGACGGACATTCACTTTTGCTCTCCTGATGAGCTGCCATTTCTTGGCGGTGGCTTTCAGCAGCTCTATGCTCCTCGTGCTGTACCCCGTGAAGGAGCCCTCCGTGCCCGTGCCTGTGCCCTCCCAGGGGCAGATGGACTCACGGTCACTGCTTGCTTGCTCCTTCTTTTCAGACATGCTGTCTCCAGTCTTTTTGTGGAGACCTTGATCTGCAGAAGGGTGCTCACTCGCTATGGGCAGAGCATCTCTGTCCTGTCTTGATTTCTCTGTAGTTGATGGGGAAGGAGCTGCCTCCCAGGGGCAGATTTCTGCTTTATCAGTGGATTTGAGCTCCCAAGGACAGACCTCTGCCTTCAGGCTCTCTGCGCTCTGGGATTTCTTTGAAGGTGATTTGGGCAGCGTTGGGCTCCCAGCACGGGGTTTTTCTGGGGGCTGCTCCATCCCCAGGCTCTCCCAGGGGCAGATGGACTCACGGTCACTGCTTGCTTTGTCCTGCTTTCCGGATGTGCTGTCTCCAAATCCCTTGCTGAGACCTTGATCTGCAGAAGGGTGTTCACTCTCTACGGGCAGAGCATCTCTGTCCTGTCTTGATTTCTCTTTACCTGATGGTGAAGCAGCCGCCTCCCAGGGGCAGATTTCAGCTTTATCAGTGGATTTGAGTTCCTGAGGACAGACCTCTGCCTTCAGGCTCTCTGCACTCTGGGATTTCTTTGAAGGTGATTTGGGCAGCACTGGGCTCCCAGCATGGGGTTTTGCTGGGGGCTGCTCCGTCCCCAGACTCTCCCAGGGACAAACGGCCTCTCGCTCGCTGCTGTCCTTCTCCAGGGATCTCTCCGGGCTGGCTAACGCTGCCTGGCGCGTGATGCGCTTGTCCCCCTTAGAGCCGACCCCAGGACCCTGCTTGGCCTTTTGCTGATCGGAGGGACTTGCAGCCGCCTCCCTGGAGCAGATTTTGGCTTTGCCATCGGCTTCAACCTCCTGAGCCTCCCAAGGACAGACCTCTGCCTTCAGGCTCTCTGCGCTCTGGGATTTCTTCGAAGGTGATTTGGGCAGCGTTGGGCTCTCCGCACGGGGTTTTGCTGGGGGCTGCTCTGTGCCCAGGCTCTCCCAGGGACGGACATTCACTTTTGCTCTCCTGATGAGCTGCCATTTCTTGGCGGTGGCTTTCAGCAGCTCTATGCTCCTCGTGCTGTACCCCGTGAAGGAGCCCTCCGTGCCCGTGCCTGTGCCCTCCCAGGGGCAGATGGACTCACGGTCACTGCTTGCTTGCTCCTTCTTTTCAGACATGCTGTCTCCAGTCTTTTTGTGGAGACCTTGATCTGCAGAAGGGTGCTCACTCGCTATGGGCAGAGCATCTCTGTCCTGTCTTGATTTCTCTGTAGTTGATGGGGAAGCAGCTGCCTCCCAGGGGCAGATTTCTGCTTTATCAGTGGATTTGAGCTCCCAAGGACAGACCTCTGCCTTCAGGCTCTCTGCGCTCTGGGATTTCTTTGAAGGTGATTTGGGCAGCGTTGGGCTCTCCGAACGGGGTTTTGCTGGGGGCTGCTCCATCCCCAGGCTCTCCCAGGGGCAGATGGACTCAGGGTCACTCCTTGCTTTGTCCTGCTTTCCGGATGTGCTGTCTCCAAATCCTTTGCAGAGACCTTGATCTGCAGAAGGGTGTTCACTCTCTATGGGCAGAGCATCTTTGTCCTGTCTTGATTTCTCTTTAGCTGATGGTGAAGCAGCTGCCTCCCAGGGGCAGATTTCAGCTTTATCAGTGGACTTGAGCTCCTGAGGACAGACCTCTGCCTTCAGGCTCTCTGCGCTCTGGGATTTCTTCGAAGGCGATTTGGGCAGCGTTGGGCTCTCCGCACGGGGTTTTGCTGGGGGCTGCTCTGTGCCCAGGCTCTCCAGGGGACAGACATTCACTTTTGCTCTCCTGATGAGCTGCCATTTCTTGGCGGTGGCTTTCAGCAGCTCTATGCTCCTCGTGCTGTACCCCGTGAAGGAGCCCTCCGTGCCCGTGCCTGTGCCCTCCCAGGGGCAGATGGACTCACGGTCACTGCTTGCTTGCTCCTTCTTTTCAGACATGCTGTCTCCAGTCTTTTTGTGGAGACCTTGATCTGCAGAAGGGTGCTCACTCGCTATGGGCAGAGCATCTCTGTCCTGTCTTGATTTCTCTGTAGTTGATGGGGAAGGAGCTGCCTCCCAGGGGCAGATTTCTGCTTTATCAGTGGATTTGAGCTCCCAAGGACAGACCTCTGCCTTCAGGCTCTCTGCGCTCTGGGATTTCTTCGAAGGTGATTTGGGCAGCGTTGGGCTCTCCGAACGGGGTTTTGCTGGGGGCTGCTCTGTGCCCAGGCTCTCCCAGGGGCAGATGGACTCATGGTCACTGCTTGCTTTGTCCTGCTTTCCGGATGTGCTGTCTCCAAATCCTTTGCAGAGACCTTGATCTGCAGAAGGGTGTTCACTCTCTACGGGCAGAGCATCTCTGTCCTGTCTTGATTTCTCTGTAGTTGCTGGGGAAGCAGCCGCCTCCCAGGGGCAGATTTCTGCTTTATCAGTGGATTTGAGTTCCTGAGGACAGACCTCTGCCTTCAGGCTCTCTGCTCTCTGGGATTTCTTTGAAGGTGATTTGGGCAGCACTGGGCTCCCAGCACGGGGTTTTGCTGGGGGCTGCTCTATATTCAGGCTCTCCCAGGGACGGACGTTGCCCTTCGCTCTTCCCATGCTCTCCCATTTCTTCGTGGTGGCTTTCAGCAGCTCTATGCTCTTCGTGCTGTACCCCGTGGAGGAGCCCTCCGTGCCCAGGCTCTCCCAGGGGCAGACAAACTCACGGTCACTGCTTGCTTTCTCCTTCTTTCCAGACATGCTGTCTCCAATCTTTCTGTGGAGACCTTGACCTGTAGAAGGGCTTTTGCTCGCTATGGGCAGAGCATCTCTGTCCTGTCTTGATTTCTCTTTAGTTGATGGGGAAGCAGCCGCCTCCCAGGGGCAGATTTCAGCTTTATCAGTGGATTTGAGTTCCTGAGGACAGACCTCTGCCTTCAGGCTCTCTGCGCTCTGGGATTTCTTTGAAGGTGATTTGGGCAGCGTTGGGCTCCCAGCACGGGGTTTTGCTGGGGGCTGCTCCGTCCCCAGACTCTCCCAGGGACAAACGGCCTCTCGCTCGCTGCTGTCCTTCTCCAGGGATCTCTCCGGGCTGGCTAACGCTGCCTGGCGCGTGATGCGCTTGTCCCCCTTAGAGCCGACCCCAGGACCCTGCTTGGCCTTTTGCTGATCGGAGGGACTTGCAGCCGCCTCCCTGGAGCAGATTTTGGCTTTGCCATCGGCTTCAACCTCCTGAGCCTCCCAAGGACAGACTTCTGCCTTTGGGCTTTCTGCACTTTTGTATTTCTTCGAAGGTGATTTGGGCAGCACTGGGCTCCCAGCACGGGGTTTTGCTGGGGGCTGCTCTATGTTCAGGCTCTCCCAGGGACGGACGTTGCCCTTCGCTCTTCCCATGCTCTCCCATTTCTTCGTGGTGGCTTTCAGCAGCTCTATGCTCCTCGTGCTGTACCCTGTGGAGGAGCCCTCCGTGCCCAGGCTCTCCCAGGGGCAGACAAACTCACGGTCACTGCTTGCTTTCTCCTTCTTTCCAGACATGCTCTCTCCAATCTTTCTGTGGCGACCTTGACCTGTAGAAGGGCTTTTGCTCGCTATGGGCAGAGCATCTCTGTCCTGTCTTGATTTCTCTTTACCTGATGGTGAAGCAGCCGCCTCCCAGGGGCAGATTTCTGCTTTATCAGTGGATTTGAGCTCCTGAGGACAGACCTCTGCCTTCAGGCTCTCTGCGCTCTGGGATTTCTTTGAAGGTGATTTGGGCAGTGCTGGGATCTCAGCACCGGGTTTTGCTGGGAGTTGCTCTATGCCCAGGCTCTCCCAGGGACAGACCTCCTCCTTTATGCTCTCCATAGTCTCGGGTTTCTTGAACTCGGCTTTTGAGCTCTCCAGACTTTTCTTAATGTGCTCTGTAAAGATCCTGGTGTCCCTGTGCTCTGCTTGGCAGCCACCCACCTCTGCCAGCTTTTCTTTAATGTCTTGAAGTCCTCTGGATCCTGGTTTGTTTTCCCCTTCAGAAGTCCCACGTGTGTCCTGATTCAGTCTCCCCTTCCCCAACGGAGCTGCAGGCTCTTCCCAGGGGCAGATTTCTGTTTTGGCAAGTGACTCCTCTTCCACTTCCCACGGAGAAATGTCAGCCTTTTCGCTATCGATGGTTCTTTCTTGCCTGGCTGGTGTTGTGGGCAGAGATGGGCTTTTTGCTGCAAGTCCCATGCTGGGCTGCTCTGCACGTTCTCCAGGGCAGGGGGATCCCCACTGTCTGTTCCCCTTGCCCACAGTTCGAGCCATCTCCCCCGTGCCCTCCCGGGCCACTCTCTGGGGGGAAATCCCTTTCTTCACTTGCGAAATTTTACCATCATCTGGTTTTCCTGCATCAGATAAAGCTGTTCCCCTTTCCCAAGGGCAAACTTCTGCATTGCTCTCAGTTCCCCTTGCTTCCCAGGGACAAACCAAAGCCCGGGGGCTCATCAGGATCCTCGAGGTCACTTCTGGCAGCTCGGAGCTTTCGGGAGCAGGTTTCGGTGTCAGTTCCTCCCTGCTGGCACTGCCCGCGGGCTGGCTGGGTTCTTCCAGGCTGCTCCCAGTCTCCTGCGCTCTCAGCAAACCCAGTAAATCTGGTCTGATGCTCTTGTCCCCCTTAGCCAGCTGCCTTCTCTCCCCTTCCCCTCTCTCTTGCTCCGACCAAGCCCCCTCTGCATCCCAGGGGCAGATTTCTGCTCCGACAGTCCTTCCCCCTTCCCCGGTCTCACATGGACAAACCTCAGCCCTCCTGTCTTCCACGCCACCCTCTTTTTCCAGAGCCCCTTTCAGCTCTGGAGTTTTTGCTAGCGGTTTCTCCATGCCCAGCTCATCCCCGGCGTGGCAGGGATCCCCCTCGCTGCCACCCTTTCCTGGGGCTCTGCCCGGCCCCCAGCACTCACCCCCACTCTCCTCCCAGGGGCAAATTTCTTTTTTAACGCTGGAATCTGCTTGGGTTTCCCCGGGACAGACCTCTGCCTGCCTGCCCACCGCCCTGCCAGCTTTTCCCACTGCAGCCAGGGCCACTTCTGCGCTCGGGCTCATTGGAGGGACCCTCTCGGTGCCCCAGCCCCCCCCAGAACCGAGGGGCTCGGGCTGGCCGCCCCCCCTTCTCCAGTGCTTTGGCCAGGTTCTCCTCGCCCGGTGGGACCCTGCTGTCCTCCTGGGATGCAACTGCCACCTGGCGCAGCAAAGCTCCTCTTCCCGCTGGGACACCCGGGGCTCCCCGGGGACAAACAGCCCCCGGCTTCCCGGCAGCCGCTCTCTGCACACCGGCGGTGGACGGGTGGGAGCTGCCAGCGACGGGTTTTACACGCGGCTGCTGCACCTCCGCATGGTCCCGGGGGCAGACGGATCTGCTGGTGCCCTCGAGTCCCTCAGCCAGCTTGGCCGCCCCTTCCTCCGGTGTGATCAGCCCAGCCATGGCCACGGGAGCATCCTTCCCCGGCTGCGCCGCGGGAGCCTCAGCCCCTTCCCAGGGTCGTGCCGGTGCTTTCCCACCGCTGGCCACCGCTGGGGTTTCAGCTCCTTCTTGGTGGCCAGCACTGGGTGGGATCTTGTACACTCCCACAGGTGGCCCTGGGACCCCACCAGCATCTGTGTCCCCCCTGAGAGCTCCGGGCTCCTCTGCCCCCAGGGCCGGGCTGTGCCACTGTCCTGCCCTGTTGTCCCCCCAGCCCGTGGCTTCCCCGGCCGTGCCGACGTTGTGCTGGCAGGGGACCGCATCCCCCTGCCACGGCCAGGCGGGGGGCTTGCTGCCGGGCTTCTCCCTGCTCCACTCAGGGATTTTGGTGATGGGGACTTGGCCGATCCCCCCGAGGGACATGGCCAACATCTCTGCCAAGCGGGGCCTCTCCGTCCTGCTGCCCCCCTCCTGCTCATGCCCCCTCTTCCCGACGCTCCCCTCGCTTTCCCTCTTTGCCTTCAGGATGCCTTTCCCCCTGCAGTGGTTGAAGGCTTTGACGGCGAGTCCCGTGCTCCGGTGGGGGCTCTTCTGGGAGGGCAGGTTGGGGGGGGTGTCTGATGCCTCACCAGGGGTCCCCGAATCTGCTGCTTCGGCAGCTTTCTGCCTCCGGCTCAGAATCTCCTCCTGGATCAGCTCCCAGGGGCAGACCTGCGCCGGGATGGACGCTGCGGCCAGCAGCCTGCCCTTCCTCGCCGGGGGGAACGTGCGCCCCGAATCTTTCTCTGCAGGCCCCTCCGCCGCTCTTTCTGGCTCTTCTGCCCGTGCTGGGGGGCCCGTGGGGGGCTCCACCGGCTCCAGGCTGTCCCTGGCCAGTGTGGCACGCTGGCCCAGGCTCTGGTAGCGGATGGGGGGGGGTGGTGGGGTTCTCCTCACCGCCACCCGCACCCGCCCCGGGAGGTGGGAGTTGTCGGTGCTGATGCTCTTGATGGGGGCGTAGGTGACGCGTTTCTGCACCTTGCCAGTGCCCAGGGGGGACGTGTTGTCCGGGAAGCACCCCTTGGCGGGGCTGGAGCTGGCTGGTGGAAGGGCGTCAGCTGCATCCAGGCTTTGGGGCTTTCTGGCAGCCCTGGGGGGGCCCTGGCCCGTGGGGTGCCCCAAAGCCAGGGCGGATGGGTGCCGGTTGGCGTGCCACACCTCCCGCTTGGCTCGGCTGGTGGCGAGCAGGGTCTCTTCCCGTGCACCGGCAACGACGGTGAGCGACTTCTGCAAGGGGGGTGCGCGGGGCGGGGGGGGCTGCCTGTGCCTCGCCAGGTTGTGGGCACTGGCCGACTTGCAGATGAGCGGGGCGGTGTCGAGGGACTTGCCGTCAGATGGCTCCGAGGCCATCGCCGCCATCATCTTCCTCCTCGGCCCAGGCTCCCGGGGGGTCCCGGGGGTGGGCGAACCTCCCGGGAGCTCCCGGGCGGGTCCCTCGGCGCTGCGGGACTTGCGCAGGGCTGCGGTGCGGCGCCAGGAAGCGTCATCCCGCATCCGCAGGCTGGTGCAGCCGGCGCTGGGGAGCCGCTTGGCGCGGGAGCCGCGGTGGGCCGGGGTGCCCACCCGCTCCCCGCCGCTGCTGCGGCGCGCCACGGCCTCGGGCAGCTCGGCGACGCGGCGGGCGATGGAGCGGCCCAGGCTGCGGCGGGAGCCGCGCTTCTTGGGGAGGTGGGGGTTGTTGGCTGCCATCCTCCGCGTCTTGTGCGCCTCGAGCTGCGCGTAAAGCTTCTTCAGCTCCTCCTGCGCGCCGCGGGCGAGGCCGGGGAGGTGGCGGGGGTGGGGGGTGGGGAGGGGGGACGCGGCAGAGAGAGGGGAGAGAGGAGAGCACGTACAATGGGACCCCACGGGGGGCTACGGCTGGGATGACCCCGCAAAGCCCCGGGTTGGCCCCTAAAACCAGGCTGTCCCCATGTCCCCAAGCCCCCCGCGCTGCCCGTCTCTCCAACCCAGGGGACACAGAAGGTTTTCCCGACCCGTGGCCGGTTCACCCTGCACCCCCTTCTCCCCCCACCCCTTTTTGCTTTGCATCAGGAGAAAGATCGCAAAAGGCACCTCTTACTCTGTGCGGGGCTGCATAGCTAGCGTCAAAAGAAGGTCCTGAGTGTGCCACCCACCCGAATGTCATCGGGGTCGAGACTGTGCTCGCTCCAGGCGGACGCGATGCTGCTGTTCAGGCGGGAGCCCGAGCGCCGTGTGTCCAGCTCGTCCTCATAGACCTCGGCCGCGATCTCCTCCCGCAGCGGCGAGCCGGCGTGCAGGAACTGAGTTGGGGAGGGGGGCGAGGGGTGAGCTCGCCGAGGGGTCCCTGAAACGCCGGGGAACCCCCAGCCCCCCTCTCCCCCAGTCGCTGGGCTGAGCGTTACCTTTGGGATGAAGAGCAGCGCCAGGGTCATGGTGATGGTGCCGTGGGTGTGAGCGAAGAAGAGCAGCAGGGTCCAGTCGGGGTGCAGCGAGGGGACCATGACGAACCTGGAAGGGGAGAGGAGGAGGGCAGCGCCGGGTCCCGCCGAGGCACCCGCAGCCCCTTCCCCACCTCCGGCCCCCACGGCCCCCACCCTACCCGGGTGACCCATGCAGGGAACCCGCTGGCTTCAGGGATTTTCCGCCAGTTCCTCCGCAGCCCCGGGGATGGGGAATCTCGATTCGCAGCCCCCTCACAGCCCCCACGCCCTACCTGACCACGTGGAAGGCGGCCGAGATCATGAGCTCGTTGTGGAGCGCGATGCCCATGTAGCGGGGCTCGTGGAAGGCGGAGGGCACGGCGCGCGTGGCGTAGCACAGGAAGCTGCCCCACAGCAGGAACAGGATTTCGGCTGTGGGAGAGAGCGGGGGAGCGATGCTGAGCATCCAGCCCCATCACCCTGCTGCCGGCAGCGTGGTTTCCTGGGTGGCACCGTCGGGTGCTGAGCTGCGGGGTGGGTGCTGCTGCCCACCGGGACCTCCCTGCCGTGGGGTGCATCCAGCCCAGCACGTTCTGCCCGGCTGCTGCTGGCACGTGCCACGGCTGGAGCCAGAGCTGGTGCGGAGCATCCTCCGGCACAGCCTGCCTGAAAGCCACCGGGACTCACCGCCTGCACCGGGTGATCTACCCTGCGCCGGGGCGAGTCCTGGGGATACTCAGAAGAGAGGGTGGGAGGCAGGTCGGGCACCCCAGCCTGGCTTGCAGGCTCCAGGCAGGTTAAATGGACAAGGAAATTAAACCCCGGCGTGTACAGGATGGGATCCTGGGGCTGTGAGGGTCCTCAGGACACCGTGGGGGCTGGTCTCACCGATCACCATCATGTAGTCCCAGCGGTCGTGGCCACAGATGTAGAAATGGAGCCCGCGGGCGGTCTGGGTGCGGATCACCAGCGGGATGTTCTTGTCGATGTTCTCCAGCATCCCGATGGTCCAGGCCGCCAGGAACCACAGCACCAGGAGCAGGATCAGCCCCAGCATCTTCAGCACCCGCCCGCTCGACACGTAGGGCACCCGCTGCGCCGTGTGGGACAGGAACAGCTTCAGCACCCTGCGAGGCACGGAGGGGTGAGCCCCCAGCCAGTCCCTGCCCCGGGGGGTCCCGAGCATCCAGCCCTCCCTTCTCCCCCCCCCCCCCCCGCCCCCAAACTCCCGGCTACCTGTACAGCTTGAGGGTGATGGTGCCGTAGACGATGGCGAAGCCGAGCATCCGCACCCAGCGCAGGACGATGCAGCGGAAGACGCTCGGCTTGAAGTACAGAATGAACACCTGGGGCGGTGGGAGGGAGGGGTCGGGGGGGTGGCACGGGGCCGGATCCCCCCTGCCGGGGAGGGCGGGGGGGGGGGGGGGGGGGGGGAGGGGGGAAATTCCGGAGCCTCGGAAACCACCCATTTTAGGGCCAGCCCCACTGCTGCCCTTCCCCCTTGGCTCTACAGCATCCACTGCAGCTCTTGTGGGAGGGAGAGAAGATTTGGGCAGGGATTAATTCCCGAGGCCAGCAGGAGAAAAAGGATTTGGTTTCCTGAGAAGGTTTATACCACAGCCGCCGGGGGCTGTGCCAGCAAAATTGACAATTAGGGGGAGTTGTGCCTGTGCCCTGCTTGGGGCTAGCTCGGTGCCTTTGCCCAGGGGGCAGCCGGCCAGGCTGCAAATGCTCTTAAACCCTCACCCAAAGGTTTTTGGTGCTGGGGCCAGCTGGATACTCACGGGGAAGTAGAGGAGGAGGGACCCGAAGAGGATCGTCTCCAGGAGGATGACTCCTGACGCCCGGATCCTCTGTAGGGACAGAGGTGTGAGGGTGCAGCCAGGAGACTCGGCCAGTGCCTGGCAGGGATGGAGCCAGATCCCCCCCGTGTGTGCTGGGCTGTCACATCCCCCCGCCCCAAAAGCCCCCCCTGAGACCACAGGGTTTGGGGGTGGGAGGGGGGGGAGGACCTGGGGACGCCTTGCCTTGCTCCGTCGGAAGTGGTAGGAGACGAGCATGCTGAGGAAGACAGCCAGCATGCAGCAGGCCTGGCAGGAGAGGACGGCCGCCCGCAGCGCCCGGTCCTCCTGGATCAGGCAGGGCGCATCGTCCTCGCAGGTGACACACCCCTGGTGACAGGGCCGGCATGCCAGCCGGGACCCCCCGTCCGCCCCCGCCGCGCCTGGGGACAGAGCGATGGCAAGGTGAAATCACCGCGTCCCGGGCTCGGCGGCACTTTCCTTGCCAGGGCTTCCCAAAGTGCCCCCCCAGCCCCGGATCCTGCTGCCGGAGCCACGTGCCGCTGGGTGAAATGGGGACCCCGGGGCCAGGCATGGCACCCACCTGCCCGGGCACTGCTGGCCGCTCCGCTGGCCCCGTAAAAGCCCGGTTTGCACTGGCACAGGTACCTCCCGAGGACGAAGCCGTGGTTTTCCTGGGGGACACACTAAAGGAGACAGGCTGAGACACCTGGACGGGCGAGGGCTCATCCTGCACCCCGTATACTCCCCCCCTGCACCAGGGGCCCCAGCAGCCCCCGGCTCACGGTTACCTGACCCCACACCATCCTCCCCCCGCGCCCAGGAGGAATCAGTGGTTAAACATTTAAGAATTAAAAGCCAAAGCTTGGTCCCCAAATCCCTCCCTAAAACCTAAATGGACACCTAATGCAGCAGAGCGCGCTAATCCTGCCCAGCTGTGACGGCAGCGGCAGGCTGGGCACTGCTGCCCTAATCCCCCCCCCCCTCCCCGGCTGGATCCTGCCCTGAATGGGCTGGGCTGGCAGCTTTTCTGGGTATTGGGTTTTTTTTTTTTTTTTTGGAGGGATGCCCGGTGGCAGAGCTCATCCCTCCGGAGGGAAGGAAAGAGAACCTGGTGATGCCTTTCCCACTCGGGGACAGCTTTGTGCCTTCTGGTTGGGACCCCCATCCGCACTGAGCTGGGGGGCTGCGGGGTTTGCCCTGGTTGGGGATGCCACCGGTTGTGCCGAGCCCTGAAACGCGCTTGGGCATCACCAGCTCACCTGGGGGGGCGTCGCTGAGGAGGGGAATTGGGGGGCTGCTGGTGGGGGTGAGTCGCCCACCGGCTGCCAACCCCCAGAGCCCGGCCGTCCCTGCGGCGCCCGGGTAGGGAGCAGCCAGGTCACACGCTGCCGCGGAAAAGGAAGATTTGCACGATAAATCCCCTCGGCTGCAGCGCCAAGAGCAGCTGAACGAAACAGATGGATCGGTCGGGAGAGGATAAAGCTCAGCCCGGAGGGAGGGACACTCCGGCTGGGGGGACAGGGACGGTTTGGTGCTGGGGAGCCCCAGCCCAGACGGGTGTGGGGATGGGGTGCGGGGTGTTGGGTGCCGGCAGCCGGTACCTGGGTGCTGTTGAGGTCACAGCGGTGGGTGTCTGCAAACCAGCCCGGCCCGCTGGCGCACTGGTCGATGGCCACGTCCCGCAGCTCGATGTCCACCCGCACGACACCCCTGCGCCCAGGGACGGAGGGGGGTCAGCCCTGGGGGCTGCTTGAGGCCTCCCCGTGTCCCCCCCAGCCAGCGTGGCCGTGTCCCACCGCTGCCTCTGGGACTGGGGAGGACGAGCCCACGGGGGTGGCCGGTGCCGGCGCGTGGACTGGGGCAGTGTGAGGTGTCAGCAAGGTCCCCAGCCCCCCAGTCAGGGATGTGTGTGTGTGTGTCCCCCTCCCAAGCCGTGTCTGGGGGAGGTTGGAGCTGGGACAGGGGTAAGAGCAAGGGCAGCAGCTCCTGGGTGTGAATTCTGCCTCTCAAGAGGGGCTTTAAGGCAACCGACTGGGAAATTGGAGCTGCTGGGGTGGCCCCTGCGTGTCGTCCCTCGCCCTGTGGGACCGACCCTCTTCCCTGGGTGCTCCAAGGGGGACACGGTTCCCCCCTTGGAAATGGGGCCACGTCCCCTCTCCGGGACTAAACCCAGCTGCCCCCCTTCCCTCCCCAGAGCCTCCCGCCGTGGCTCCTCGCATGGGGGGTTGCTGGGGTGCAGCAGGGACCCGCCAGCCCAGGGACACCCCGCAGCTCCTGGGGGGGGCCCCAGCCCAGCTGTGGTAGGGGGCTCTGAGGGTGGCAGCCTGAGGTGGGCAGCGTGGGGACAACGGGGGACATACACACACACACACACACAGGGGTCGGCTCTGTGCCTGTGGACGTGCAAATACCCACATGTGCACACGCACACACACACGCGTGGGGGGACGGGAAGGGTGCCAGCCCGTTCCCAGAGGGTTTGGTACCACGCTGCCCGCACCCCAGGGTGGCACCTCCAGCTGCACCCCCCCGACGTGCACACGGGGCACCCCCAAAGCCCTCTTACACCCCCCCCGCCCTCAGCCCCTCTGGGTACCACTTACTTGAACTCAGGGCTGAGGTCTGGCTTGAGCCCGTAGAAAGCGGAGGAGAGCGTGACTGCCCAGGCGGGCAGGAATCTGCCGTCCCGGCACTCGAGGAACGGCGGGGACCACCGCACGTGGGCCGGGTCCCCCACGTAGCTGTCACCCCGCTGCCACTTCGGGGTGTCCATGCTGCGCAGGTCGTTGCTGAGCACGCGTTTGCGGAGGAGGGGGCTCCGCTGGGACTTGAGGGCGTTGAACCACTCGTTGTCCCAGCTGAGGTTGCCGAGGCCGGGGGCGGCGGCGGAGACGTCCTGCAGCAGGATCTCGCCGTCCCCTTTGGTGGCCTGCAGCATCAGCCGGGGTTTGGCGGCCAGCGGGTGGGCGTCGAGGGCGAGCACCGCCCGGCGCACCCATGGGTGCCCCTCCACCAAGCTGCGGACCAGCGCCTGGTACCACTCCACGTCCTCGGCCACGCTGGCCTCGCGGATGTCGTTGGTCTGGAAGAGCATGTTGAGGAAGTTGGCGGCGTGGGCCAGCGCCTCGGGGACGGCACGCAGGGTGGCACGCAGCGCCGGGGGGGGGACGGGGTCGGGTGCCCCCGCCGCGACGCCCTGGCTGCAGTTGGCCCGGGTCAGGATCTGCGCGTCGCCCGTCTGCAGGAAAGCCAGCGCCGCTGCCGAGTCCTCGGCGTCCCCTGACGCTCCCGGCTCTGGAGTGGGAACCCAGGAGGACAACGGGGCTGGGGACCATCCTGCCAGCCGGGGGGGTCTCTCCGGTGGGCGCCGGCCCCCAGCGAGGACGGTGCCGTGGACCAGCACCACGTAGAAGCACCGGAGAAGCAGCCACCACCGCGGCCCCATGGCCTGGGCTCAGCGGAGCCCCCCGGCCCCCTGCGGCCCCACCGGCCGGCCCGGGGGGGGCATGGTGGGCACGATGCCCGAGGCCGGCCGGGAGCTTGTTCTGCTCCACGGAGCCGGACTCGCGTTCTGCCGCTTGTTTTCCTCCCTCGGCGATGCCGGAGCAGACGTCACCGGCTCCAAAACGTGTTCATCTGTTGGCGCTGCCCACCCAGAGCGGCCCCCCCTCACCCCCCCCCCCCGGCTCTGTTGCTGCGCTCCCGCTCGGGCAGGCCACGCTGCCGGGGACCCCCCTGCCCTGAGCCTTGTGGGGACCCCCACACCCCGGCCCCCTCGGCTTGGCCATGATGCAAGAGCATCCTGAGGGGAAGCCATGGCAACGGAGCCGGGAATTTTCCTCCCAGCATCCTGCTCCCCGCGGCCCCCTCGGCAGCCAGGGGGAGAAGGTGACCCACTGGTTCCCCATATGGTTCCGAGCTTCAATCCCCTGGTCCCAGCCCCTCCCCCCCAGCCATGGGGTTGGAAAAGGGGGGGTATGTGGGGGGGGGTGGGGTGGGGATGGATGGCGCACACACATGGGATGTCCCTGTGGGGCTGAGGATGGTGAGCGCGGTGGGGAGGTGGGCATGAGCACAGTCCCCACGGTGGGGACTGACGCCCACCCCCTACACTGGGGTGTCCCATGCAGCACTGCCTTGGTTGCAGAGAGGAAACTGAGGCACAGGAGGCTGCTCGGTCCCCCCCTTCCCCTTTCCCCCCCCCGCCTGAAGCAACGGTGACTTCCCCCTCCACCGGCCCCCAGGCAGGTGTGGGTAGAACTGGTCCCCACCCCCTCTCCTCCAGTGGGGCATGCTGCGTGCAAGAACCGTGCAAGTGCTGTGCAAAAGCCGTGTAAGAGCTGTGCAAGAACCGTGCAAAAGCCGTGTAAGAGCTGTGCAAGAACCGTGCAAAAGCCGTGTAAGAGCTGTGCAAGAACTGTGCAAGTGCTGTGCAAAAGCCGTATAAGAGCTGTGCAAGAACCGTGCAAGAACCGTGCAAAAGCCGTGCAAGAGCTGTGCAAGAACCGTGCAAAAACTGTGCAAAAGCCGTGTAAGAGCTGTGCAAGAACCGTGCAAGAGCCGCGCAGGGCTCGCAACACGGAGGTGCCGGGCTCCCGTGCCTCAGTTTCCCCTCCCACACCCCGCTGTCCCGGAGCGGGGGGTCGCGGACAGCCCCCTGGGTGGCGGCCGGGACGGCTCCTCCGGGATCCCCGCCCACCAACGCTGCCCCCCCCCCCCCCCAGCCGCTCCCCACCCGTGGGTGCCGGGGTCTCCCCACGGCCGCGCTCCACGTGGAGGGGCGGGGGGCGACGGAGGGGGTGGGGGCGGAGCCTCCGCAGTGGGCGCGGCTACATCGGAGGGGGCGTGGCGAGGGGGCGTGACCGGCGGCGGAAGTGTGGGGGCGTGGCGAAGCGCGGCCGTCGCCGCGGAGGAGGGAGGGAGCGGCGGCGGCTGCCCGGTCGGTCGGTCGGTCCGGTCGGTCGGTCGGTCGGTCATGCGGCAGCCGTAGCCATGCAGCGCGCCGAGCTGCGGGACGGGGAGGCGGCGGCGGCCGCCGCGGCCTCTTACCGGGTGCTGAGCCGCTTGCTGGGCTACGGGGCCGGGCCGGAGGCGGGCGCGGCGGGCGGCGCCGTTACCGGCGCGGCGGGCGCGGGGCCATCGGGCCCCGGTGTCGGGCGGCTGCCGGCGGCGGCGTTACCGGGCGGCGGAGCGCTGCGGGCCCAGCGGCCGCCGCCGCAGCTGATGGTGTTCCGCAACGCGGCGGAGGGGCGGCCCGGCGAGGAGGGCGGCGGCGGCGGGGGGGGGGGGGCCCCGGCGGGAGGCGGCGGCGAGCTGCTTTGCCCGCGGCACCGCTGCGCTCTGGAACCCAAAGCGGCGGCGAGGTGGGGGACGGCGCCGCCCGGGGGGCTGGAGCTGCAACTGGCGGCACTGGGGCTGCGGCCCCCCGGGCTGGGCGCGAAGGGACCGGCGGGCTGCCCCTGCCCCTGCCTCGGCCCGCCGCCCCCCGCCGGGCCCGCCGCCGAGGAGACCAGCGACGCGCTGCTGGTGCTAGAGGCGTTGGAACCCGACGAGGCCGGGAGCTGCTCCGAGGAGGAACCGGGTTCTCCCGGCCGCGGAACCGCCCGCGCCGCCGGCAGAGGAGCCACCGGGACCGGCCCCGCGCCGCCGGCCGCTGCCCCCGGGGGAGCCGGTCCCGGCGGCAGGAAGGGTTCGCTCAAGATCCGCCTCAGCCGCCTCTTCCGCACCAAGAGCTGCAGCGGCGGCTCGGCCACCGGGGACGCCGCCGCCGTCGCCGTTACCGAGGGCCGGCGCACCGGGGAGCTGCCCGCCTCGGCCGGCAGCCTGACCGACGTCTGCGGGGCCCGCGGCCGAGAGCAGGAGCCGGGCAGGTACGGGGGGGGGGGGGGGGGGGGATGCTCCCGCTCCCCCCGGGGGTAGGTGAAGGAGGGGGGGGGGGGGGGGGTCGGTGAGGTGGTTGTGGGGTGCAACCGCCTGCGTCGCTGGTGGGGGGGGGGGGAACCTTGGGGTTGGTGGCAGGCACGGTGTGACCCCCGAAGGGGTGCTGGTGCTGTGTGACTTTACCGGAGGTGGGGGGGGGGGGGGGGTGACGGCGGGGCGCGGGTGCCATCCCGCAGACGGGCACCGTCGGCTCCGGGCTCTGCTGAGCGGCTGCCGAGGCCTCCTCTTTGACACGGGGGGGGGGGGGGGGGGGGGCGGTGGGCGCTGCGGGAGCCCAGGAGAGGCGGGTGGAGGAGGAACGCGCCGCTCTGAGCCCTGCACCCGCCAAGGGGGTGGCGGAAAAAACCTCCGGGAGCAGGGTAACGGGTGGCTCGGGGGAGCTGCCGGAGCCCCGGGGATAACGCAGGTGCTGGCCGAGCGAGGATGTGATGCGACACTGGTGACACGGCGCTGGGACCCAAGGGGCTGGCGTTTCCTCTCGTGGAATGGTTTCCTGAGGCTCGCGGGCTCCGGCCTCGGCGGTGGTGGGTGCTGCCGGGGGGGGGGACACACGCTCTGCTCTCCCCGTGCTCTCCCGGTGCTGGGCAGGAGGAAGCGTTGGCAGCCGGAGGTTGGCTGGGTCGGGCGTTAGGCTGGAGGGGCAAATCCTGGGACCTGTTGGTGTGGGACCCTCGGCACCCCCATGTTCTGTCACCTCCGGCACTCCTGGGCTGCTCGCCTTGCTCCAGCCTTGCTCTTCAGCAGAAGACATGAGCTGCTTGACACCAGCTGGGGAGGGTGGAGGGTTGATCTGTCTGTACCTGCTGCCCAGGTCAGGGTGGGCCTCCTGTGCTCCAGAAACCACTTTTTGTAGCGTTTCCAGCAGCAGAACTGAAATTCCCGGTGGAGGAGGCAGGGAGAGCCTGCCCAAGGTCTGTGCACAGCCAGCCCAGGAGCAGCGTTAAATAATTGAATGAACTCTGAGTATTACAGCACAGTCCTTTCCCTGCGGGGTTAATTAACCTTGTGTAAGGCTTTTGGGGTGTGTTGCCTACTCAGTGCAGCTGAAGACCTGTTGATGGGCGAGCAGGAAACTTTCTCCAGGCTTGCTCTGAGGATGCTGACCTTGGGTCAGGTGTGACCCGCAGCACCGGCTTGCGGTGACCGAGCACTTTCGGCAGCCCAAACGGCGGCCGGGCTGTAACAGAGGCTGGAATTACCTCCCCTTTGAAACAGAGGATGGCTCCTGAGATGGGGCAGCCTCAGCTCCTGGGGCAGCTCCCAGCCCTGCAGCTGGTCAGGGTGTTTGAGTCCTCCCCGGAGCTTGTGTGTCCACGAGGAGCTTCGCTTTTGTATGTGGGGTGGTGAAGCTGTTTTATACAACAGCTTCGTTCTCCACAAATGACTAAAGGAGCCTCAAACGGTAGCCGAGTTGCCTGCGACGACATAATGTTTTGCTAATGCGCTTGTGGTTTGTTCTGTCTTCGCACTTGATGAGAGCGAGGAGTCCTCGGGACCTCCCAGCGCCGGGGTTAGGTGTTGGAGAGTTGGCAGTCGTGTCTGAGCAGGGAAGCACCGTATCGCTGCCCGGCTCTTCCCTCTGCTCAGGGAGTTTAATGGTCACTCCTCCTGCTCCGGCGTCGTGCAACTCCACCGCGCTAATTAGGCAGTATTTTAACAAAGGTTACTTCAAGGTGCCTGATGCAGTAACTCTCGTGGTTCAGGGATGACTTTGCTGCTTCCAGTTCCAGGAGTCCCATTCCTGCTGACGAGGGCTGGATTATTTGACTGAGGCTTTTAGCTGCTGTGGAACGTGCTGGTGGGATGCGGGTGTGCTCGGTGCCGGCATCTCCTGCCAGGAGGCTGCGCGTCGACGGGACGGTCCTTGCTGGCCCCAAAGGTCTGGCCCTGCTCTTGTCAGCATGGATGAGTTGTTCGGGATCCCAGGATGCCCATATTCTCATGAGCAGGTTAGGCACAGTTTAGCTAAGCTGGGCTTGCTGGGAAGTGACTGGCCTCAGCAGATGCTGCTTTTTCTGTTCCTTTCCTCCCAGTTGCCCTGGTGCCTCAGTTTGGAGATGTGCAGTGACTCGGTTTTCTGCTGTGGTCTCTGCTAGAGTTAATGCCACGCTCGTGAATGCTCTCTGCTGCTTTGTACCCGTCTTCACTGGTTGACTGGGGGGATGACGATGACCTTTCCTTGGCTCTGCTGAGAGCTGGAGGCTGTTCCCTCCCACTGCGTGGTCCCCATTAATATAGGATGGACTTGACGTTCACCATGAGTGGCTGCTGCAGTCGCTCATGGCTGACGAGGTGGGCTCAGAGTAACTTTTGGGTTAATTCATGGCTCTGCTTGCTATCGAGCTCTCGTTCCTGACCTGTAGGTCTCAGTGAGCTGGTGGTGAAGGGTGCTCCCTTGGTCCACAGTGGGTGTTATCTAGTCCGGCTCTTTTTTTAAACTTTCGCAAGAAGCAGAATTCCTGGTATTTGGAATTGCTGGTCCTGGAGGCTTCCCATCGTGTTGCTGGTCCTGGAGGCAGCACAGTGCAGCTTTGTCTCCCGCCTGCAGCAGCAGTTAGGAAGGAAACCAGCCCCATTATCTAAAATCAATAGTTGGGCTCTGCTGAGCTTCAAGAGGCTAAGAAAATAAACGTGGAGATACCAACGTGCAGCTTCTCACCAAGAAATACTTAAAGTGATATTTAAAGGTTCTATCAGTGAAACTGCTCTTTTTTTTTTTTGGAAGCAGTTTGTACTGCAGGGGTAATCGGAGGGGAAGGGGACAGGGTTTAGGCCCTGGTTCTGCAGAGGGACGGGTGCCGGCGTAGCTGAGCTGCTGCCAGCATCTGCTGCAGGTCGCTTGCCAGGCTGCTGCCCAGGTCTTGTAAGTTATCTGTACTGGTGACCTTGGATTTTTAACATGTATCTCTAATATTATATGCATAAATCAGCACGTGACTGGGTAAGACTTGCCTTAGTGTTACCAGGACAGTGCCTTGGGACGAGTGAAGGCAGCACAGTGGGAAGTGCTGGCCGCTAAGGCAGCAGCCACAGCTATTGCAGAACTGGTGGGTAACCGACCCTAAAAATCCTTATTTGCTGGAGCTTGAGGGGTTTCCCGGTTCTGTGTGCTCGAATCTGTGCAGAATCTGTCCGTGGCATTTCTGAACGGCCATGTCCACCTCTGGCTCTTTCTCCAGCTCTGCAGGGCTGCGCTGATCCGGTGCAGCAGCGTTCACGTACCGGTCACGCGTAATTACTTCTCCGTGGGTTTCAGCATTGTGTAGATGCTGCAGAACTTGAGGGCAGGAGGAGAAAGTATGGAAGTGCGTTGTTTTGGTGGAGACTGAGTTGGGAAGTGGAGGGTTTAGTCCATGCGAATCGTTTCTTCCTCTTGCCTTTCTGCTCATATGAGCTTGCTAGAAATGAGAAGTCCTAGAAATCGATGGCTGTAGAATGTTGGCATAAAACATAGCTGTTTTGGTAACAGCAAAATGCCAGCAATGCTCCTTTCCATCTGGCTTAGTGGGTGGGAGCAGAGCTGTTAATATATTATAAGGTTAGTTGATATTAGTCCAGAAGCGTAATTTTGTGTTTGCATGTGTGGCTGATAAGTGGTGAATTGTTCTCCTTCCGGAGAAAAAAAATCCAACTCTCTAATAGGTGCAAGAGACTTAAAATGAAAACACTTCCAAACATTTTAATGAGGCTTTATATATCAGGATGATGAGTGTTCTTAGTGGTTTTATTTGCAGACTTGTCGTATTAAGCGTTTCTTCACAGCTGTGTGACCCAGTGGTGTGTCTGGACACAAACGAGCAGCATTGGGGCTGTGCTGGGAGGAGATGCGGGTGTACCCGTCTGCTCTGCACCCCCCCGGCCGTGTGAGGCCGGAATTCGGGCTGCCTCTCCCCGCCGTAGGGCGGTGGGGTTGCGTGTGCCCCGCGCAATCCTTCCTGGGGGGCCGCAGACCTCGCTCGGAGCTGGCTGTGTCTGAAGCTTGGTCCGGGTTTCGCAGGAGGCTGGGAGCAGAGCTGGGGTCTGGAGCCCGAGCCAGGCTTAAGGTTGGAGGTCAGCCGCTTGCAGGGAGGAGGTTGGAGAGCGGGGAAGACGTCCGAGAGGAACGATAGCAGCCTGCTTGCAGTGGGAGTGGGGGCTCCTCTGCGTGGTGAGTAGAGCTGGGCTCTGAGCTCCTCTCTAGATCTTGGTGGTGCCGTCACTTGCCTGGGTGCAGCGGGACCAGTTTCTCTGGCCAGCTCGGTGAAGTGGCACTATTTAACTTGGCGTAACCTTGTCCGACCCAACGCAGACCGATACGGACTGCCCGGTGCCGGGATGGGAATTGCACAACGTACTGTGGATGCTGGAAAGTCTGTCGTCAAAGCTGCGCTTCTGCTCGGCTTTGTTCTTGTGCTCCTCTCAGGTGGGAGTGAGTTTCTGGCACCAGGGACGCGTTTCTCCACTCGCCGCAACCGTGGATTCAAGGCCTGGGGTTGCCATGCTCTGTGCCTCAGTTTACCAGCATTTTCTGGATCGAGCCCTTTAGCATTGCCATGGGGAAGGTGCTGGGAGGAGTGGTTTTGTGTGGGGAGAGCACAGGGCTGGCTCCGGCGCTGTTACAAGACTGCTGGTTTGGAAAGCAAGCTTCACAGGAATTGCTGGTGTTCCTGGGTCCTCAGCGAGGTGGGTTTTTTGAGCTGTTTCCATCCATCTCCATGGCTCCCGGTTTAGCTTGCCTGCATTTTGAAACCCTTTGGGGAGATGGTGCCCTCCAAACGCAGCGCGAGGGCATTCGATGCGCTCGCTCCAGGCACAACCCCTAATTGCACAGGGACCCAACCTGTTTGTCGAAGGCATTTGGCAATACCTGATCCAGAGAAATAGCGTGACGTCTGTTGTGAAACAGCTTCTTGGCTCCGGTTACCATACTTGCTTGGGGTTTTTCTTTCCAAAGACTTTATTAATTACCTAGTTAGAGATTTGCTTCGTAGCAGGACGGAGACCTAGCTTTACTGGTTGACTGCCCTACTTAAGCCAAAGCACTGCTCTAGGAGTCGAACAAATGCAGCATTGAGCTGTCTCGAGCTTCTGTAAAGAATGGTGAAGGTTCTTCTGGTTTGGGAAGGTCAAACAGTGTTTTTCTTCTGGTGGGATGCACCGAGTCTCCTCATCTCTACTAACAATGTTTTTCTCACTTCCAGTAGGAAACACAGACTGACAAGAACTCAAAGTGCCTTTTCCCCGGTTGTGTTCAGCCCCCTCTTCACAGGTAAGGATTTGAAAGATGAACAGTATGGCGTTTCATTTTGCTATGAAAAGAGCAGGGTGCACTTAACGACTGATGCCGAGTGTTGCTTCCACATGCAAACTGGCATCTCTGTGAAGAGTTCCTCTGTCCTGCTTGGCCTCAAACCCTGAACAAGAGGAGCTGTACAGAATGTGGCTGTTGCACATCAGCGTTTTGCAATTCCTCCTCTTGAAACGCAAGTTTGGGTTGTGCTTTCGGAGGCGAAGGTCCTTCCTCTGCGCAGGGCTCTTCGCATCCAAGCGGTTTGGAAAATCCCCTGTAGAGCAAGTGCAGCTCGGTGCTCCCCTCCCCGTGGTTTGAGAGGGGTGAAGACCAAGCCCTGCTCCCCACCTGCACCACCCACCAACATCAGCGGCTCCGCCGCATGACAGCTATGGGAATTGAAACCTCTTTTGTGGAACACTACCTCCTTCTGCACGTTTCCCCTCTCTCCTTGCATCCTGCCGGTTTCTAACCTTCCTTTTTCTGCTGGGGGGGGGGGGGGGGGGGGAAGTTGGCTGGTTTATAAATGGTGTGAGGGGAAGTCCTGCTCCGCTGGTGGCTGAAAGCTGTAATGCTGAAAAGCTCCTGGTCACGGTCATGTGCCTCTTGCGTGGGCTCCTAGTCAGAACAGTCCTAGCCACAGGGCTCGGGGCTTCCTTGGGAGAATCCTGTCTCAAGACTTGCGTGAGTAGGAATCTGAGGTCACAAGCGAGCATTTATCAGCTCTGCGGGGTTTTACAAGGCTTGTTACGGAGGTCAGATTCAAAATAAGTTCACGTTGAGGGACTTAGTGCAGAGCAAAGGAATCAAAACGTGGTTGTGTAGTAGTGAAGCTGCCTTAGGAGAGGCGGGTGGGTAGAGCTGAAAGCCTCTTCGTGCTGCGGGTGTTGGTGTTTGGTAGCGGAGCTCGGTGCGGGACCTGGCGTGTGGTTTGTGTTCCTGAGCAGGGCGAAGCCCTCTTTGGAGAGCAGAAGTGAAGTCTTCCTGAGAACTGGTTTAAATTTCAGAGAAGTGACCTTCATGGCAGAGCATTCATTTGAGTTGCCTGAAACTAGTAATTGGAAGCTTCTGACCTGCTCCTGCCGTTTCCTGTAGCTCGCTCAGCTCTTGCAGAAGTGGAGTCTCTTGGAGGTAATTCAGCTGCGGTGGGGCTTGTTCCCTTCCCCATTCCCACATCCCTTCAGCCGATGTCCTGATAGCGGAGTGGCATGCAGAGGACATGCTCCTCACACGATGCGGCCGCCTCCCTCAAAGTGGTGTGTGCATTTATTTCGCAAATCGAGGCTGCTGAGAGCAAAAGCTGCTTCTACTGCTTTGTCAGCTGTTGCTAGGGGAAGTTGTGAGTGTAAAACCATAATTCGGTGTGCTGGTGATAGCAGTACGTGGATGTGTGTGCGGAGGTGCTTTTCCTCAAAAGAAACTACAAAGCAAAACCTGGAGTTGACAAATTTTTGCTTCAAATTTGCGAGGCTGATTTAATAATGGTTAGTTCATGCTATTAACAATTTTTAGAATTACTCATGCCCATTTTTGTCAGTCGGTGGAATAGTGGCAATGCACTTGTAGGAGTTTTTTCTTAGCAGTAGGCAGTAGCAGTGTCCCCAAAGTGAATATCTGAATTTTAATTGCTTTGGTTTGTTGACTTCTCTGGGTTTTACACTGCTGAGGTCTCGGTTTCTTTAGTGGCTGCTGTATAGGGGATTTCCTGAGGCTGAGACCACCAAAGTGGGACAATGCCTGGCCCAACTTGCGTGAGTTTTTTGGTGATTTGCTCTCAGGTTAGTGTGTGTGGTGAGCGAAGGCCTTTGGGAAGGCTGTCCTGGGCTTTCCTGACCTCCCCTCGGGTGCCTTTTGGAAGTGCTGGCTCCGTAAGTCCACCCCAGCCTGCCACTGCAGCTCCCGCTGTGCTGGGAAGGATCTGAAAGCGGAGTTACTGCAACCACGCTTAGTCTGGTTTGTCTTTTGTTTTTGTTTATACAAAGTGAATGCAGCCCAGCCACTTTTAGTTTTACGATGTGGAAATGAAAGAGTGGCTGTGTGCATGCGTGTGCTCTCACACCCATAAGTGCCTCAGGGAGGAGGTACCTCGGATAATAACCAACCCTAAATACTCCTCTTAACATCGCTTATTAATAGACAGGACTTTTAAAAGCAGAAGGAAGCTGAGTCAGTATTGTCCTGTGTAATGGGTGGTAAATACATTGTCAGGCACTTAGCGAGAGGTGGGTGATGCTGTGTGCGGTATCTGGAGCAGGAGAGGAGTTCTCTGCCCACAGGAATTGAAATTTAAGGCAGCCAGACTTCGTTGTCCTTGAGACCATGGTTCAGGGATGATTTGGTTTTAGTGTTGGTTCATCAGAGCCTGGTTAGACTGATTTTTTGATTTTTTTATTTTTTTTTTTTTAAAAAAAAAGAAACCTGCCTTGGCTGTGGTACCCCCGCTTAGGGTTTCTCTTTGGGATTTAGTTGTTTTCCTTTTGACTCTGTATCAGTTCAGTACCGAGGCTGATGCTTTAACCTTGATTTGATGGCTCATTTCTCTCCCATGCTTTTTAGACCAGTTCTAAGCTTCTCTGGTTTTAAGTCAGGCATCTCAGTGTGTGTCGTTATTTTCCCCAAGCAGCATCCTGGATCCAAAGCCTTTAGGCTTCAGTGAATTCTACTTATTTAATGTAAAAGCCTATCCAGCTCTTTCTTATTAAGAGCTGGTACCCTCATGGCCTTTGGGCTAAAAGGCATTTCTGTTTGATCATCTAAGGTGTTGGCAAACTCAGACTGGCATTAATAGGAGCGATATCTGAGAGTCCTGTGCCGGCGGGTGCCACACAGAGGTGTGAAACCATTTCCCAAACATGATACAAAGCGCCAGCGCTGTGAACCGTTGATGAGCTCTGCTTGATACGCGAACTCCGTGCTGGAAAGGTCTCAGTGCCTTCCTCATCACGTCCTCCCGGTGCTGGATTCGGGTGGGGTTCAGGCACACGTACCTGTGTCCTGACCTTCGGGCTGCGATGGCAGAGCTGATCAGTGTCTCCAAAGCAGTGCAGCGAGGAGACTCGATTCGAAAACAGCTTAATGAGATCATCTTCCAAACCCTGCGGAGGTTACTGCCCCTTTCCCCTCTCGCCCTGCCTTCCTGCATGCCCCGGAGAAGGTGCAATACTAACAGTCTTGCTCCACCAACCTTCAGGTGAAACAGTGTCACTAGTGGACGTGGACATCTCTCAGCGAGGACTGACCTCCCCTCACCCTCCGACTCCACCACCTCCACCACGAAGAAGCCTCAGCCTGCTAGGTACCGTCCTGGAGAGCATCCCGTGCCGTGTGTCCCTCCGGGAGCGTAGGAACTGCCCGTCTGCCCTTGCAGGGATGACGGGGGAGTGTCTCGAGGGTCGCTGACAGCAGGCTTGCTGCCTGCTCACCTGACCCTGTAACATGCCTGCTCAGCCTTCCCTGGCAGAGGATTTTTTTTTTTTTTTTTTTTTTTTTTTTTTCCTCTCCCCTGTTTGTGGAACGCTTCAGTGTTTCTCTTAGATCAGCCAGGAGGGGAGGGCGGTGGTGGAGCAGTGCGAGGTGGGAGGTCATGTGCTGGTTTCGTAGCGTTTCTGCTGCTTTTGGGAACTTTTCCCCCTTCCTACCTATCGCCCAGCGAGGCCGGTTCCTGTCTGCGCTCTCTGTTTGGTGGAAGTGGAGGGTCCCCGGGAGGCGGCTGCACCGGGAGCCTGGCTCAGCTGCTCCCCACCCTCCCCTGGAGGAGGGTCCTCTGAGCAGGAGCAGCTGAGGATGGGTGAAGTCAGCCTTAGCGAGCAGCACCTTAACCTGCACGTCCCGTGTGCCGGGTCTGTGAAATCTGTAAACGCCGTGCCACAAGCTGCATGCGAGGAGCTAGCTGGGCTGGAAAAGGGACTCCCCCGCCCTAGGAGTGCGTGTGAACGTGCATGTGTGCGTGCCGGGGGACGAGCTGGGCCCGCAGCCGTCCGCGCTCCGAAAGCGAGAGGAGGAGGAGGATGGTGAGCTGCCGGTGGGAAGCTCCAGCTTCGCTTCTTCAGGCAGCGCCGGGCGCCGCTTCGCTCGGGGCGTGTTGTCAGGCGCTCGCCGGCCGGCGCAGAGCTCGCTCGCTTTCCCGTTTTCTGAATCTCTCTTGCCTCTGTTCTCTCCTAGATGATATCAGTGGGACGCTGCCTACATCTGTCCTAGTGGGTCCAATGGGCTCCTCCTTGCAGTCTTTCCCTCTGCCTCCGCCTCCTCCGCCCCATGCCCCAGGTCAGCTTAGCTTTAGCAGCAAGGCTCTGGCTTTCCCTCCGGGGATCTGGACTTTGAGGGTTTGTTTTGGGTTTGGTTTTTGTTTTGTTTTTTTTTTTGGTAAATTTTAAGGCTGCGCTTCGGCCTTTAACAGCAGCGGTGCTGCCTGCAGTGCCCGCTCAGGGACATGAGGTCCTGCGCTGCCGAGTGCTCAGGCTCTTGTGTCAAGGCTCTGGTTTCCGTGCGGCGTGGCTCTTGTTGCCCACAGGAGTTTTGCTGAAGCTCGTGGTTGCATCAGCTTTATCCTCAGTTCAGCATCTCCCGTTTTCTCTGGTTCCTTTTGGGTTCAGCAGAAGCGGAGCCCGCTCCGATTTGCTCTGCGTCAGATAATGTGATGATGAGTGTCAGCAGCGTCAGAAAAGAGCCATGGGAGCAGGGTTCAGTGCAGGAACCCCAGGTTTGAGAGCCAGCCTGGTGTGCGGTCCAACCGAACAGCAGATGAGGATGTTTCCTGTGAATTTACCCTTTTGCTTTTGGTTTTCTTCAGGACCCATAGGGTTTTAGCTGCCCCTTTTTCAGGCTGTGTGTTCATTCCTCCCAGTCTGTGCACTTCCCTTGCCTTCCCTCCGAGCTAGCCTAAGGAAATAGCAGGTGAAGGCACTGAGTCACCTCGAAAGAGCCAGGTAGTGACTCCCACTGTGCCCTTCACGAGGACATTGTCCTTCCACCGGTCAGCCCAGCATCCTCCTCCACACTGCAGCTCTGCCCCTCCTGCCCCGACCTCTAGAGCCGTGCGAGGGGGACGGGGCGACTCATCTTTGGGGGCGAGCTCCCCACGGGTGACCGTGGCCTGGGCTGTGTCTCCCTCTGCAGACGCCTTCCCACGGATCGTCCCGCTGAGGCCGATGGAGGCGATGCCTGGGCAGCCCACCCCACACCTCCAGTGTCCGCTCTACCGCCCGGACTCCAGCAGCTTCGCAGCCAGCTTGCGAGAGCTGGAGAAGGTAACGGTAACGGGGGGTGGTGGCACCAGCTGCAAGGGAAAGACTGGAGGCCTAGGCTCTAGCTTTGGGGACTGATCATCGCTTTTACAGAGCTGGGAGCATAAGGTTAGGATGGGGTTGAAAAAAAACCTTCTTTGAGTCTAGAAAAGCCTTTTTCTTGTGCACAGAAGGGGTGTCGCAGTCTCATCTGTTCTTTTGCCACGTCGGAGTGTTAAGGGTTTGGAGGGTGCACTCGCATCCAGGGGCAGGGAGTCCCAACCATCCGTAGTCCTGGGTGCGGATACAGCTAGCTGCTTCCATTTTGGCACTTAATTAACAACAAGAGCAAACTGTATCGTGTTTGGTTGCTGATAAAATCTTTCTTGCTGACGTTCTGGCTGTCTCTTCTCCTAGTGCGGGTGGTACTGGGGACCGATGAACTGGGAGGACGCAGAGATGAAGCTGAAGGGGAAGCCGGATGGCTCCTTCCTGGTCCGAGACAGTTCTGACCCCCGTTACATCCTGAGCCTGAGCTTTCGGTCGCAGGGCATCACCCATCACACCAGGATGGAGCACTACAGAGGTGAGAGCCACGGCCGGGCCTGGGGGTGCTGCTGACAGCGGAGACCTGTGACTGGGACCAGTCTGATCTCGAGGTCCCAAAAAGTGCTCTGGGGCACACAGCTGGCAAAAGAGGGGGAAGCAGCGGCAACGTGTCCTTGCTCCTGTGTTGGGGTGCTGCGGGAGGCCTTAGAAGCTGCGCTTGACTTTGCTTCTTGTGCCTCAAGCAGCAGCTCTCCTTATAACCCTGAAAGATCGGGGAGTACGAGGCATCCCTGTGCCTGTCCTCAGGCCTTGCTTTGGAAAACTGGACTGGAAGAAAATGATAAGGTCTTTGGGATGAGATGTGCAGCAAGAGCCATCATTCGCAGCGGTCAGTGCTTCCCAGGAGGGGGGTTTTATTTCCCTCTGAAACGAGAAATGATCTCGTGATGGCCGCAGCTCATCACCTTGCTTTGCTCTCCCCCTGTCCGAGGGACACCGGGCAGCGATCCCGCCCGCAGTCGGTGCCAGGCTGAGGCTTTAGCTCCACCGCAGTGGGTTTTTGTTCTGAGAACTCCTGGCACGTTGTTTGTCCTCCTCCTTCCTGCTGCGCTCGCCCTCCCGCGCCGGCTGCTTCTCACCTCGCCCACACGCTTTGTCTGCTCGTCTTCACATGTGGTTTTCTGTATTGAACCCTGGTACAGGCAGCTGTCCTCAGGCTGAGCAAAATGCCCGAGAGGCTCAGTGCACTGGGGGGGAAACTGCCCTGGAACCGCTGGGCAGGCTTTAATAAGAGCTGCCTATAGAGCCTTGTCATTAAATGTGCCTGAAAATAATGGGTTGAGAGGCTTCCCAGCCAACCTGCTGTAGAAAATAGTGGTTTACAACCTTTCAGAGCAAAAGCGCGTTTTTCTTCTTCTTTTTGCCCTTGCCCCAGGGATGTTGCTGTTGTCGTCTTCCACTTCTGCTAGTGAAACCTGGCAGCGCTTCTGGCCCCTCTGATGGAGAGATGCCCCAGCATTAATTCTAGTCCATCTAGAGCCAGTTCCCCTGTCCCTGGCCATTGCGTAAGAAGGGCTTTCATCACCCTGTCCTTATAGAAATTACAAGAAGCTCTTGCAGCTGGCGATGTGAGGCTGCCTGGACAGGGGATACTTTTTCATAATTGAGCTTTGGAGCAAACTTCTCCTGCTGCTGGTCTGGTTTCTTACTTCAGGGCCAGGATATGTCCATTCTCAGAGCTTCCTTAGCCGGGTGTCCTTCCCTGTCCTCAAGCCACCCTCCTCGCTGCACAGATGAAGGCTGGTGCTGCCGCCTTCCCCGGGGCAGCGCTCCCAGCCATGGCACCACATCAAGGATTTCATTTTTTTGGGTGCGACGCTCTGGTCTGTGTCGGCAGCCCTGTGTTCCCCCCACCCCCCCAGACTGGCTGCCTCGTGCTGAATGTGCTGCGGCAGCGTGGAAAACTGCAGACCGGAGCACTTTGATAAACCAATGAAGATGACAAATGGTGAGGCTGGGGGAATGGTAAAGAGATAAATGCTTGACCTTCAGGTTTCAGGTAGATGAGAGGAAGAAACCAAGATTTCTCTGTCTTTTTTTAGGCGAGCTGAGTAGGCAGGCTGGGGAGGCTGGTGTTTGTGCTTTGTCCTTCGCATCTACTGGCTACTTTTAAGGGTTCGTTCAGATCCAAGATTCCCAAGAATAATTGTTTATTTTTGTGTTTGCTGATCCTGGATGTTTAGCAGGTGCTCCCAAACTGGCCGTGGCAGGGCTGAGAGGTATCTTTTCCCAGCAAAGCCTACCAGGCCTAGCTGTGGGGCGAGGAGGTGGGTTTTCAATTTTGGGGGCTGTATATAGCCCCTGTATTGCTGGCTGCTCTCCACCCTACAGAGCTGCTTCCTCTGGTTTTTCTGTGACAGGTCGGTGCTGCGGGGCTGGTGACGCTGCTGGGGGACCTGCTCCTCCAAAAAATCCCTTACCTGAAGTATGTACTGGATTTGGCTACACCTCCTCCTTAGCCCAAGTTCTTTACAAGGATGCAGGGTGTTTTCAAAGTCACTCCACTGCCTCTCTGGCTGCGGGTTACAGTGCTTGTGCAGATGAGAGGTGTCCCACACCTCCCCTGGGAACCTGCCCCGCTGCAGGCACGAGCTTGGGTCAGCTCCTGATGGGCTCCCTCCTAGCAGAGCCCTCGTTTTCCCATTTTTCCTCTGCCTGGTGAAGCTCTGCTCTGTGTTGGCTCTTGCTGGAGCACTGACAAATCTGCAGAGAGAAAGGGACATACAAGGGGGGGATGGAGGGGGATATAGACATCATTTTGGCAAGTAAGGGTGGGGGGGATAAATGGCTGCATTTTGGTGCAAGGAGGAGGCGTCTGGCTGCAGCCAAAGCAATCATGAGACTGGTCTGATTGGGGCTTAGCCTATTTAGAGATCTGTAAACAGGCTAGAGGGCCTGCGCTCCCCGTGTTGCCCAGCTCCAGTTTCATTGCTTGCCACTCGAGCTCAAGGCGTGTGTTGTGTCAGGTGGCAGTACAGGGAGGCCTGTGTCAGTGTATCTTGACTGTAATTTGAATTAAGGTGTTTGAAACAGCTGCTCCAATGCCTGCTTTGAAATAAGTGATCCTTGACAGCCGTAGGGCTGGTGGAAGAGGACTTCAGCACCTGGATCATTGTTTTTTAGGTACCTCCGTGTGTGGGTTCAACTGCTCTGATGTGCTAGCTTGCCTTGGGTGTGCTGTTGGTGGGATACCGAGGAGGAGCAGGGGCATCTGCTCATGCTCTTGAAGTACGTTTTGATAGTTTAAGTTTTAGACCCAGCAGTCGTCGCAGGCTGTTTACAAGTTTAGGCAAGCATGACTTGTGGCCGTGCCTGGGTTACAGTGGTCACGTTGTAGTGTCTTTCTGTGTATCCTCAGCTCTTGGAGAGCACTGGTTCCAGTGGAACAGCATCCTTGTGAGCTGATGCCACTGGTGTTTCCTCTTGGTGCCCTGCCTCACCCCAGCTCTACAAGAAGTAGTCAGCCTGGGGCATTCACCTGGCCTTTGAGAACATCAGACTCGGGACTAGATGTCTCCTCTTGCCACCAGTGCTCCTGTAATGTGAAACCTTTTCTGTTCTGTTGGAAGGGACCTTCAGCCTGTGGTGCCATCCCAAGTTTGAAGACCGCTGCCAGTCTGTGGTGGAGTTCATAAAGAGGGCAATCATGCACTCCAAAAACGGGAAGTTTCTCTACTTCCTCCGATCCAGGGTTCCAGGTGAGTCTCCCACTCTGAGGGGGTGTTTTGCTCTGATTAGCTGCTGGTCTGTCCTAGAGAGCCAGTTTAAGGTGGCTTTGATCTGCTGCTCTCAGTGCCCTGGCCTGAGTCCTTGCCCACTGACTTCTCAGAAGGGTCCGGAGGAGCAGATCTCTCGCTCAGTACCTGCACCACATAATCGTGGTGGTAAGGAGACTTCCCAAACCTTTCTTTCCAGGACTATGGAAACATGATACCATCTCACACTGTGACAAATGGAGCGGGAGACTGGAAAGCTACTCCCTCAACAAGCAATTATTTGGCTACCAAAACTCTGCTTTCTTCCCTCCCCCAGTCTCAGTACTGCTGTTCTTACAAACCACTCCATGCTTTGTAGTTTCCCAGTTCTCCCTTGGCTGAGACCCACCTGGGGCTGTCAAGGGGAGAGACATTAAGCTGAGCATGTGGGAACGTTTCCAAGTGTGAGCTCAACCTGAGCCTCAAGTGATAGATACTGTAGATTCAGAGTCCCTGGGGGGACCGTGATGCCAGAGCCCATCAACAGGCAGGTGCTTGCAAGCAAGGAGCGAGTGTTAGTGCAGCTTTGTTGAAGCATGTTTGATAGCATGCTGTTGGGATTGCAGAGTGCTTGTTTCCCCATCCATCAACCTCTGGTTTCTTAAATATCCCTCCTGTTAAATCCAGGCAGGCAACTGGACCGGTATCTTCTGTATTTGTATTTTTTTCCTGGGTTTTGCTTCTCCTGGTGTGCCAGAAACCTAGTCAAAAAATCCAGTGTGAAAGGAAGAGCCTGTCAAATAGGCAAATAGGGGCCAGAATTTGGAGGGCAAGTTAGTGGTGATGCTTTGAACAAAACAGCAGGAATGGGAATGGTGTCGTGGTGAGACAGGCGGTGGCAGTGAAGCAGAGTGGGACAGGACTGGGAGGAGTGTGAGGATCGCTGAGGTAAATCTGCATGTGAAATTATAGTGAATTTGCTCCCTATCCGTATTGCCTGCAGGGCCTAGTGGTGACAGCGACCTCTCCGTGGCACTGCAGCAGGGAGAGGACTCAGCCCAAAGAGGTTCTGGACTAGAAGAGGCTGGAGGGGAGGAGGGATGGGCTGTTCCCTCCTCAGGGCTCCTCGCAGCGCTGGAGTCGCAGCCCAGATCTGTTCAGTGTTGCCCTCTGCTGCAAACACCACCAATTACTGGAAAGCTGATTTATAACGTGGCCGTGCTCTGGGGAGAGTGGGGATGTACAGCTGGTTTTGCAGTGTAACCTACCTTCAAAAAATACTTTTTATTTAAAGATACTTTTCCTTCCTGAGATTTCATCCCTTCGAGAATAGGGCTTTGAGGGCTTAGGACTCCAGGCAAATAGCTAAGAAAGGTCTTGCTCTAGAAAAACATCATCCAAAAAGAAAATGCCCCCCCCAAGAGCGCTGTGCACCTGCTGAGGAGTCCCTTGCTGCCTGGTCCCTGCTCTGCAGGACTTGCACCTCTCCCTCTGGATGCAGCGTTGGATCCGGGCGCTGCTTGGAGTTCGCTGCGCCTTGATCCTTGAAAAACAAAGTCTCGCACTGATGCCCGATCTTTAGTGGGAGAACATTTAGGAGCTGCATCTCCCCAGCGTGCTCGTTAGTGCTGTTCTCCTGCTGAAATGTTAACTGCTGCTCAGAGGAGGGGGCTGTTTCCAGCCCGTGTCTGGCTCCTGGCAGTGAGGCATGTGGCTAGCACAGTGTGCGGAGCTCGTGCTGCGTCCCTGTAGTCGCTGGCTGAGCTCCCAGAGGCTAATTCCTTTTTGGTGGGAGGATAAGGAGGGGGGGCAGAATCCAGCCTTCAATTGATTGCTGTTCTTTGCCTTCTCAAAAGCTGGCTCACAGCTTCCTGAGCTGCCTGGAGCAGTTTTGAGCCCATCTTAGTGTGAAGAGCTTTCCCTTTTCTCCTTTCACTCCATTGCCCTCAGAGACAAGCCAGCAGGAGGGGGTTAGAGTGTAACTAGCTTTGAATCCTTCTGTAAAGACAGATAAAACCTTGTGCTGTGAATGAGCCCAGCTCCCAAAGATCCTTCCTGGTGCTCCTGCTGACCTCTCGGTTCTGTGGGCTTGATTGTTGCTCTTAACTTTGGGGGAGGAGGAGGAGGTTTTCGAGTGGGGGGATGGCTGGATGCAACTCGCTTTCAGCCCTGCGAGGCTGCTCCCTGCGTGGGGAGCTGGCTCGAGCGAAGCTGCCGCCGCCTCTGCCTTTGTGCCCAGCCTCGTGACCCCAAGAATGAGCAACTCTGGCTCAGCTTGAGCTGACCAAATCCCCCAGCTTTTTTAACGCCTCGCTAGAACTACCCAAAGGGTTGTGCAGAGCAAAGCCTACGTGCTAGTCATGCTGCCTGCCTTCTCCTTCAGCTTTCTTCTTCATCCTTTCAAAAGCCTCTTGCTTCTCTGTATAAAGTGATGCTTCATCTACCAGTCTGGGGGAGAGGGGGGTGGCTAGGAGCTTGCAGTGCCCCGAGATCTGCTTTTCCACAGTCGCCCCATGACATCAGAACCGTTGCTGCTGTGTGAGGAAGGCTGTGGAGAGATCTTGCAGCCGAAGGGGTATCACCCCTGGAAGGTTTGGCTCCCCAGTGCCAAGTGACTCTGAAGCAGTGGGCTCCTGGGAAGACACGCTATCAAACACAGCCTCGCAGAGAGCTTGGGTTCCCAAGAGCCACCTTTTTCTTTCCGAATCGGTCGCGGTTCCTTTTTAATATAATGCTCGTCTCCATTTTTTTTTTTTTTTTTTTTTTTTTCCCAAAGGTCTCCCTCCAACTCCTGTCCAGCTCCTGTATCCAGTCTCCAGGTTCAGCAATGTCAAATCCCTTCAGCACCTTTGCCGCTTTCGGATCAGGCAGTTGGTCCGGATAGACCACATCCCCGACCTCCCGCTGCCCAAGTAAGTCTCGAGGACTGGCCTGGGGATGAGTCTCTCTGGTTTCCTCCTTGACTCTCGCTGCAGCAGGCAGTGAGAAGGCATCTGTGTCTGCAGCAAGGGCTCTGGGAGGGAGTCGTTGACTTCTTCAGCCTTGGGACAGCAAGATAACTGCCCTGTGGTGTGTAGGGGTGCATGCGGGAGTGGTGAGCAGCTCAGCTGTTAGCTGTGGGTGCCACAGCCTCGGGGTACCAGCTCCTGTTTCTGCTGGGTGGGTTGGGGGAGAGGCTGTGGTTATCCTCTGCGAGACACTGGTGTGGTGGTGGCTCAGGGTTAAAGCTTCTGCCCGTTCCTTCCCCAGGCCCCTGATCTCCTACATCCGCAAGTTCTACTACTACGACCCGCAGGAGGAGGTGTATCTGTCGCTGAAGGAAGCTCAGCTCATCTCCAAACAGAAGCAGGAGACTGAATCCTCCACGTAGCGAGGCTGCTTCACCCATCTTGTTGCTGTCACTGATGGTACGTGTGTGCTGCTTGTCCGTGCCCCGTCCCGTGGGGTCAAACGTAAATCGCTCTGTTCCCTCTGGTTGCAAAGAAAACACAAAACCCTCCCAAAGAAGCCGTGGCTATTCCCTCCGTGGTCCTTTACCACTGCCCAGCTTTCCGTGGAGAGGGGAACAAGGCTTCTGTTACTTTCTTGTGCATATTTGTGCCCACACGAGCCTGTGCTCCCTCTTATGCCAAACTGGCTGCAGTCTGGGGCAGATCCTGCCGCATCGAGTGGGCTGTTTGACCCCTCTCCCCTCTCTCTTCCCCACTAGGAATTTGATTGTTGCCATCCTGTAGCCCAAGTCAGGCTGTGGTGGGAAGGAGGCACGCGACGGTGGAACCTGCTTCTGCGGTGCCGCTTCTGCTCTCAAGCTCTTTTGTACAGAGAAGAGGGTTCAAGACTCCTAAAAAAGCACAGCAGAACAGGAACAAGAGCCTCGGCTCCTGGCTGAGGGAGAGGAATCTCGGAGACAGCTGAGCCTAGCTCGTGGACTCCCTGCAGAACAAAGAATGTCATGGCACTATTTACAATTTTTTGAAAGTTTTATTTTTGATGTCTTTTTTTTATTTTATTTTCAGCATGAGAAATACTGTATTATGATCAGCTGAATTTTATTATCCTCCCTTGGAAACTTTGAGGTGGGGGGAGACGGAGAGAAGGGGACTCTCTAGGAAGATCATCTGCTTCAGGCATTATGGCAAGACTGTTCTTTTGGTCCTCACCGAGAGGGGATGCAGCCGGAGAGCTGCTTGGAGGCAGACTGAGCCAGAATGACGTGCAGCTATGTGGAATAACCTCTGGGAAACACGGAGCTCTGAACAGCAGGCAGCTGCACAGCTCCCCTGCTTTCTAGGATTTGGGAGGAGAGGGCCAAACCTAGCCTTGGGCAGCTGAGCTTTGCAGCTGGATTTGCAGGGTGGTCCTATATGCTTTTAAGCTGGACCCAAGGAAGGAAGAGCACGTGAGCCATTTGGATGTCGTGGAGCCTTCTGCCAAAGGGAATGGTTGCTGCTGCCCTGGGAAGTGGGGGCTGCTCCTCTGAGGAGTCATCGTTCCCTTAGCAAACACTGGAAGATTTTGCTGAGCCCCTGGGCTAAGTGGAAGGACGGTGGCAAAGCTGTTGCTGTAACTGTTGCAGCAGTCCATGGACCAAAGGTACTTGCTGCAGCCATCTCAGTCTTGCAGAGCTGTAGGACGTGCACTTTTAGCCTTTCTCTGGCTGCCTCCAGAAGCTGTGAATGAAGTGGCTTTCTGCCGAGCTGTGAAGGATCTTGACCAGGAGTTGCTGGGGCATTAAGAGGCATCTCTGGGGTGTCTCGGAGCAAGCAGCAGATAGCAGATACAACTGAGGGTTCTCCTGGAATGGCATCTGATCTCTGTGAGCTTGCTTGCTGCTTCCTGCTCTCCCTGGGATGTCTGTGGAACCACAGCAGTTCGGAAACAGTAAAGCCAAGAGAGGTGTTAGCTCTTGCTGTGTTTCTGTGCTCAGCACTGGCTGAAACACCCCCCTCTTACCCCTTCAAATCCTGGTCTGCTGTTTCATCCACTGCAGCAACATGCAAAGAATACGCATTTCATGGTGAAGTTTAAAGTTTGCCCCAAGTGATGCTGAGAAGTCTGGAGAAGCATCTCTCCTCCCGTATTTAAACGAGCAAATGTTCCTGTGCTCTCAACCCCGAGTGAAGGAAACGCTCCCTCCTGCAACAGTGTGATCTGAAAATGCGACGCTGTGTGTGGCCCGAGTCTCTGGGTCTGAGGTTGGTGCCCTGTGAGCTGGCTGCAGTCACTCAGGAGCTGCTGGGACTCTGCTCTTGCCCTGCGGAATGATCTGTGAATTTGAATTAGACACAGCTGTGTGGATCTTGAAGCAGCCTGGAAAAATTCTGATTGCCTCGGCCAAGAGTTGCTACGAAGGGTGCTAACAAATCCTGCCCTCCCTTTCTTCACCATCACCTCTGCCCTCAGTTTTGGTCATGGAGAAAAAGGATGTTTTTTAAAAAGGATTTGGCTTCCAGATGAAACTAATAACTAAGCTTCAAAATCTGTAGAAATACCTCATCAGACACTACTCACTACTGACTTTGTCTTGCGTTGTCAGGGCAGTGGTTATCAGGAAGGGTGAGCTGCCCCAAGATGAGCTGAACAGAATATCCTGACCCTTGGTGACACTGGAGCTAAGGTAGCCTACAACCCCCGGAGCCCGCAAATAAATGCAACTGCTCTGACTAAAACATACAGCACGTTGGGCGACTGTCGGAGCCAGGGAGGAAAAAAAACATCTATACTTGTTCAGGTGAAACTTGAATATCCGTGTGCCTGCGCCTGCTGCATCTCAGCTGCCCATGTGCTGAAGATTTGAATCTTCCATCTTATCCCTGTGCTGGAAAGGAAAACCTTCCTAAGAGCCAAGCCTGGTCTGATGCCTGAAGCGTCCCAAGAACGTGCCAGCGAGGAGTGGCCAGTGCATGTGCCTCCTGTCACGTTTCTCTCCAAAAAAAAAAAGTCCCTGGAGGCCAGGATACAGTGGTGTGGGCCAGTGTGCGTGGAGAGGTGATGCCCTGTGGGACGCGTGAAGCGGGGGGAGCTGTGAGCCTCCCCTTGCTGAAGCTGGGGAGAAGCCGGTCCTCTCCCTAGTGTGATGGTAGGGACAGAATTTTCCCCCCCTCCTTCCCTGCTCTGGGATGGAGAGGCACAGGCTGGGTTTGGGAAGGAAAAGCAGCCGGCCTGGAGAGCAGACCAGGAAAAACTGGTGCTGGCTGGGCACTGGGAAGCAGTGTAGAGCATGTCCTGCCAACACTGGGCTGGCCTGGGGTGAAAATGCACAACCCTGCTCCGTGGTGGGTCAGGAGAGCTGTCCTGTACCACCCCATCCCCTGTGTCGTCCCCCCCCGAGCTCCCTGTGTACCCCCCCAACTCCCCCTCAGGGGTGGATGGGGAGCCACTATGACGTTTGTAGCTGTCGAAGCAGCAGCCAGACTTCAGGAGCAATACTTGAATTACGTGTCTTTGGCTGTCGGTGTCCTTGGGAGGACTTCTCCCACCAACCTGCCAGGGCTTCTGCTCTTCCCTGAACCCTGGGCACGGCGGGGGCAGCCCTCCCCAAATTGAGGCCAACAGCAAGGCCTGGGGTCTGCCTGCAGCAGCCGAAGTGACGGAGGGAACGTGAGCTGGGGTGTTGGTTAGAGGATGGTGGGACACCAGCGTGTCACCCTGATGTGCTTGGTGTCAGCTGTAGCTGCACAAGCACCGGGGGGGGGGGGTGCTCCGGACCCCCAGGAGCGGTGGGGTCAGCTCTGCTGTGGAAGTGGCAGATGCTCTTCAGCCTCCCCAGGGCCCTGCTCCACCTCTCCTTGCTCCAAGCCAGGCAGTGGAGCTGGAGCACGGTCAGTGCCAGCCTGCTGCCTGGGGCTGGTACTGCTGGATCAGATCCCAAGGTTAACTGTAGTTAACAGCCTTCTCTTGAAACCCATTTAAAACGAAGCTGTTCCTAGAGCTCCTGCACATCTAAGTGCGTAAGGGGAGGGAGGGACTTGATCTGCTGTTTGGATGTGGAAAAGGTCCAGAGATTTTGTTTCAAGGCTGGATGTGAGTGGAGAGGGCGGCGCCTGCCAAGGGGGTGACGGTCTTCGTGGGCACCTCAAAGAGGTGGCTCGGTCCTGTCTTGGCGGTGAACCCCAGCCCGGTTTGGGGAGGAACACCTGATGTTTGTATCCTGCCTGGAATGGTTTTGTAGGTTGGTTCTGGAGGATGCTCTCATCCTGCTGATTTGGAAAAAAATTTTATAGCCTCCTTTTGTCCAACCTTGAATTCTGCAGAGGTTGTTGCCGTCCTCTTTCCTCTATCAGGGACCGGAGGCAGATGAGCAATGACACGGACCATAGAAACTACCAAAGCGCAGAACAGTACCCAGGGAAAAGCTCCTTTTTCAGCTGGAGATGGTGCTTTTTCAGCTGGATGGGTGCAGCTCTACCTGGTTGCAGTGCCCTGTGGCAGGCTTTGCTCCAGCCGGCTGCTCTGCGCGGGGCGCCCGCTCCTTCCCCTGCAGCCTGTGTCAAGGTAGGGAATGACCTGGCTCGCTCCTGCAGTGTGAAATTCAAATAAGCCAGGACAGTTTTCTCACGTGGAAGTTTTCAGCTCAGCATTGACCTCGTTGGGGCCAAAAGAAAGGGGGGGGGAAGTTAATCTTTAGGTTGGTTTGGGTGGGACCTGTGGTGGGCACCCTGAGCTGCTCATGGGAGAGGGAACGGGTGGCTTTGAAAGCACCAGACACATCGTGCTGACATATCTGGCCAGTTTTTAAACCCTAAAAGTTTTTAATAGAGACTTGTGTTATTGTGCACGTGCCTGAAGGAGCCCGTGGGTGCAGGGAGATGTGCAGGGCTGCACCCCGGTCGGGCAGGCTCTGCTGTGGGTGAGGGCTGGGGCTGGAGTCTTGTCTGGGAACCTTTTGGGGAGGAAACTGCTGGAAAGCAGAGTTTGCAAAAGGAAGGATCTTCCTCCTGCCGGTAGGAAGGGAACTGGCTGTTGTCCTCTTGGTTTTTTTTGCAGTTAAGATTTGCCCTTGGGATGATTTTTACCCTTAAAATTGACCATCAGGTCTGAGCCTGCCCCTTGGAGGGCTCGTCGGGGACGCAGACGCTCACCCGAGCCCCCTTTGGCTTTCCAGGATGGGAGGGATTTATTGGGGTGCTCCAATAGCACTCCCCTCCCTGGCACCTCACTCATTTAGAGTCTTCCAGGTGAGACAGGGCAGGCGGGGACACCCCCTGCCCACCCCCCACCCCCCCCAAACATCCCCTGGGGTTAACAGGGGGTCCCAGCAGTGCTGCCTCCAACCGTGCCTCCAGCTGAAAAGCACAACCGGTGCCCCGAAATGCAGCAGCCTCCCAGGGTGAGCTCCCACTGCCCCCCCCCCCCGCCCCCCGGGCTGCTCCCCCACCCCAGCCAGGGCTTTTCTCTGAAAATCGCTGACAGGCAGCGGCTAACACTGGATCCGGACTCGCCTTTAGAGAAGGAACGAGCAGATCTTGGCAGCTCTGAGTGCAGGACCTTGTGCTGCTCATCGCCAGGACTGTTGAACCACCCTTTGGTAGAAATGCAGCTTTGCTTAATTTTATCCCTTTTTTTTTTTTTTTTTTTTTTCCTCTTGTGTGTGCTTAATTTATTAAAATAGTTGCTGTATAATTTATTTTCATAAACTATATTAAAAAGTTACTAAATGGTAAAAACAGACTTGCAGGCCAATCTTTCAGAAGAAAAAGAAAAAAAAGAAAATGTTTTTGATATAAACACAAATGCACTTTTGGGTGTGTTTGGTTATTTTTGGGGGTGGGGAGGGGGAGCCTGGCTGTACCTGTGGGTTTGTCTGTATATATTGTATTAATAGGCATGTTTGGCCTCTCGTGTGGAGACGTTAGTAACTGCTGCAGGTCCTGTTGGGGAAGCTGGCGTGAAGTTCCTGGTTTGGGTTGTTTTTTTGGTTTTTTGGTTTTTTTTTTTTTTTTTGTAAGCTGTCACTGAGGGAGAGCTGACTTCTGTGTTTGTAACTCATTTCTATCGTCGTTTTGACTGATGGGGCTTTTTTGGTTGGGGAGGGTGGGAAGGGAGGAGAGTGGGGGTTTGAAATAAAACGGTTGGAAATTGTTTTAGGTGCTGTGTGTTGTCTTGAGTCCCGGGGTCCGCTTTTCCCCCGCCACTCGCAGCATCTCTGAGGGGTGGGATGGGGACCCAAGGGCTGGAGCTGCTCGGGTCCAGCTCCTGTTCCCCCCCCCCAACTTCACCTTATCCCCCTCCCCAGCTCATGGGAGCCACGTGTGCTGCTTCCCCCCTCCCCTCCACCCTGTGCCGAGGCGCTTCCAACACCCCCGAGTTTGGCAGATCAAAGGCTGCGGAGCGACAGATTGGGGGCAGGGGGGGCCCTCCGCCCTGGGGAGCCTTCATCCCCCCCCTCCATCCCCAGGCGTGGGGCAGCGGTGGGGTTTTGGGGGGGGGGGGGCAGCGGGGCTGGGGCCCCCGTTCCCCTGGGATCCCAGCCCTGGGGTTGGGGCAGGGGTTGGCCCTGCTCTCTGCCCCGGTGCCACCGTCGCGGTCCCCAAGCTGGGGCTCTGCGTGGGGACAAAGACCCCATTGACAGGGCCCAGACGGCCTCTCCAGGCGGGATCCGACATCTGGGGCCTCCTCATAGATTGATTTTTTTTTTTTTTTTTTCCTCTTGGCTGGTCTGAGCTTGGGGGCTGGAGCTGAGATGCCAATGCCCCCCCCCCCCCCCCCCCATCGCCGGCCTGCAGCCGCTAAACCCCGCGGGCAGGACCCTCCCTGCAGAGTGGGGAGGTTTTGGGGTTCCCCCAGCCCTGAGGAGGGTTGTGTTGGGGGCAGAGATGGCTGTACCCCAAGACTCACCCTTGATGGGGACGGTGCCCTGGGGTTGGGGGGAGCCACGTGCCCGGGGCAGGGATGGGGCACCCCCTTGATTTCCCCCCCCCCCCACCTTGCAGCCCCCATAAAGCCCCTTTGTCCGGCCGCCTCCGAGCCGCCCTGGAAAAGCCCCAACATGGCTGCGCTGCGCAGAGCTTATTTTTAACATCTCATTAGCATCAAAAAGCAGCAAATTTTCCCCCCCGCCCCGGTCCCTGGCGAGGTTCGGAGCCCCCAGACAAAAGCTGCTTTCTTCCCACCCGCGCTCCCTGCTCGCTTCCCCCCTCCAGCCCCTGGGGTGCTGGTGCAGTGTGGGGCTCCCCAGACCCCCACATGCCCCCCCTCCCGGTTCCAACGGGTGTCCAGGGGCAGTGGGGTGCGGTGGCCCTGGTGTGTGGGCTCAGCTGAGGTGGGGGGATCTGGGGGGTTGAGCATCGGTTGGAGCCTGGGAGGGTCCCCGGTCAAAAAAAGCCCGTTGGGGTGACACTGTGCTCTTCCCACCCCCCTCAACTCCTCAACCAGCCCTGCCTTAACCGTGAGGCCAGACTGACCCAGAGGTGGGGTACGGGGTATGTGTCCCCCCCCAGTGCAGCACCAGCTCTGGGCTGGAGCCTGTCGAGGGGATGGGGTGGGTGCTCTGCCCCTCCTCATCCTCACTCACCCCAATGCGCTGGGGCAAGCGTGGGAGTGTGCAGAGGAAACTGAGGCACAGCCTGGGGCCGTGCCAGGGAAACTGAGGCATGGTCCAGGGCTGTGCCTGGGGAGCCGGGGCTGGGTGCTCCTGGCCGAGGCGTGCAGGGTGCTGGCAGTGTCCCAGCGGGTCACTGGGCCACGCTGGGCCTGGCACTGGCGCTGCCTCCCAGCTAATATTTACCCAGGCTGGAGGGTTTGGCTGCTGCGCTGGGAAATGCCACAGCTGGGCCAGGGGCCACGAACCCACTGGGCGTGGGGAGGGGTGGGGGGGGGGACAGCCAGCGCCACCCACCCACTGCTCCAGTGCCATCCCAGCTCTGGGCACAGCCACCGGCTGTGTGGGACTTCTGGAGCCCCCCCGGGGTCACCGCGGCGAGGGGATGGATGGAGGGTTGGGGGGAAGAGGGAGGGAGGGAGGAAGGGTGGGTGCTGAGGAGGGGGTGGAATGGAGGGGAGGGTGGGTGGATGGACAGACAGATGGGTGGGTGAGTAAAGGTTGGGGGACAGGGGATGGATGGATGGATGGATGGATGGATGGATGGATGGATGGATGGATGGATGGATGGATGGATGGATGGATGGATGGATGGATGGGAGGATGGTTGGGGGCTGGATAGAAGGATGAAGTGGTGAGGAGGGGAGGAAGGATGGATGGATGGATGGATGGATGGATGGATGGATGGATGGATGGATGGATGGATGGATGGATGGACGGACGGGAGGATGGATGGGAGGATGGGAGGATGGAGGAGAGGATGGTTGGGGGCTGGATGGAGGGCTGAGGAGGGGTGGAAGGCTGGATGGCTGGATGTAGGGAAGGGAGAAGGAGGATGAGGAGCAGAAGGGGGTGTGAGAGAGAGGTGGGCAGCAGGATGCAGGATACCGGGGTGTGATGGAAGGATGGAGCGGGGGGGGGGGGAGGATGAAGGGGGAGGCCGTGGGGGCCGGGCGGAGGGGAGGGCGGCGGCGGGGTCCCGGGTGGGGCCGGGCACGGCCCCCTCCCGCCGCCGCTCACATGACGCCGCTCCCGGGATGCGCCGGGCGGTGCCGGGCGTGGGCGGCGGCGGCGGCGGCGAGAGGCGGCGGCGGCGGCGGCGGCAGCGGGGCCGCACCGGGGCGCGCCGGCTCCGCACCGGCACCGGGAGCGGCACCGGGAGCGGCCCATGGCCCGCGGCCGGCCCCCCGTGCCCGCGCCCTGAGCGGCCCCATGGAGCAGGTAGGAGCGGCCGGCACCGGCACCGGCACCGGGGCTGCCGCGGCGGGGACGGGACGGGTCCAGCACCCACGGGCGCGCCGCCGTTCCGGGTGGGGAAAGCCTGGTACAGGGACCCTCGGCTTCCCTCCCCCCGGGCACCCCGCCTGCCACCCCTGTGCTCCCCACCTGCTGCTCAGGGACCCCCTTTTGCCTTCGTGGGTGTTCGTGTGTCGTCCCCCCACCCCGCCCCGGTTGCTGCCCTGGCATCACACCCCCCCCCCCCCCACCTGCTTCCCCGGCATTGCCTGCGTACCCCCCCACCATCACCTACCAGCTGCGCCCCCCCCCCCCCCCCCCATCACCAACCTGGGACCCCCAGCATCACACACACACACCCACCCCCCCCTCACCACAACGCTTGTCCGGGATGCTCAGCCCTGGGGCTGAGCCCCCCCCTCCATCACCCATCCCTTCCCCCCCCCCCCCCCCCCCGGTTCCAGCGCTCCCACCAGCTGTGGCGTATATCCACAGGCTCCCTGCGTGGGCACCCATGGGTGCTCGCCCTGCCCAGGTGCCTGCTGTGGGGATGGATTCAGGCCAACAAGGGTGGGGGGTGGGGGGGGTGTGTGTGGGGGGGGTGGGGGGTGGCCGGGAGGGGACAGTCCTCGCTCTGCCACAGGTTTCTGTCACAGCCCGAGGTGTGTCTCGCCCCCGCGCGCTGCGAGCAGCGGGATTTGGGAAAAACGTTTCTGCTGAGGGAAGGGGCTGGAGCCGCCGTGGGGTGTGGAAAAAGCTCGGGGGGTGGGAGGGGAGCTCAGATGAGGCTGTGTCTGTTGGTCTTTCCTCTGTCTCCCTGTCCTGTTAGTCACCAGCCAATGCCTCCAGGAGCTGTCCTGGCTGCTGTTCGGACCACGATGTCCCTCCCCAGTGCCCACCCGGAGCTGGGGGTGCTCTTGGTCCCCCCAGGCCGTGGGTCTGCGTGGATGGAGCTTTTCCAGTGTGACACCCTGGGGGGGGCTCTTTCCCCTCAAAGCATCTCCCCCCACCCCACCACTGTGCACCCAGGTGAGGGGTCCATCCCCCTTCCCACAGCCTCTGCGCCCCTCGAGCTCTGCCTCGTGTTTTCATCACCTGCCCCATCCTTCTGGCTTGGCCCAGATCTGAACGCAGGATTTAACGCCTTGGTTGTGCCCCCCCTGCCCCCCCACCTCACCCCCACCCCTCCAGCCAGGGCAGGGGGGTCTGGGGCTGCACCGAGGACCAGGACAGAGTCACCACTTTGGGCATGACACATCCCCAGCACGCAGCGAGGTTTCACCGCACGTTGGGGGCCGTGTGCTTGTGAAACCTCCCCCCCTCCCCGTGAAGGGCTGTGGCCGGGAGAGGTGGCACAGAGTGTGTGTGTGGGGGGGTACATGCAACGTGGGCAAGCACACGCTGGCACCTTCACACACCCCGCCCCCCCCCTCAATCCCCCACTTCCCCGGACCCCCCGGGAGCTCCCACGCATCTGCCTCGCTGGAACGGCGAAAGCCAACGCCGGGACTGAGGAGGGGAAGCTGGGGGGGGGCGCTGCATGTGATATACTGACATCCCCATCCCCACGCTGCAGCATCCTCCCTGGGGGTGCGAGCACCCATCCCTCTGCACCCAAAGCCCCACGCCCACCCCCTGCCCGCTGTGGCTCAAGGTTTGCTTTCCCACTGGAACCCCCCCCTCCTCCTCCTCCTCCTCCTCCTCCTCGAGCACATCCAGCTGCAATGCAGAGGAGCTCCCGAGCAGCCCGCACGCCTTCCCCGCCGCCCTCGCTGGCGGCGACACCTTCGGAGGAGCTCTGGCAATTTTAGGCCGTGAGCGGCAGCAGGTTGCCATGTGCCCGCCGGCCCCCGGGCAGGGGCAAGCAGGATCTGGCAGCAGTGGCCACCC